GTCTGTCAATAGGAAATATAACAAAAGCAATAAAAACTAGAGGAATATCTTCATTTGAGCTCCATTGAAATTTTAAAAATATTTCATGATGCTTTTAGATAATTTTAAGAAACTGTTACATATGTATGTTTTATGGATTTTAAACATTTTATCCACTGCAGTATACATTTTAAAAAGTGGAAGAAGGAAGGGCAGTGTTGGGAAATAAATATATCCTGGAATAATTTCCTATCAACAGAACTGGTTTCTTTATCTTATGTCAGGGAAATTTTAAATAATCTTTCTGGTTAATAGCCTTAGGAATATTAGTTACAACTTGAATTTGTCAGAATAGGTAGGTAATTGTTATACTTTAATAACATTTGTGCACTATTTGACACATGTTTCAACCTGGAACTAATGGCTATTCTTAAATACTGCATGTCTTTTGATAGATTTATAGGTACTGGCATCAAAGTATCCTATGAACAAAGACAAAGATCAGCTTCCAGATATTTTAGTACTGATATGTCCATTGGTCAAATGGAACTTTTGGAGTGCCTGTTTCCGACTGATTTTCATTCTGTTTCTCCTCACTATACAGAGGTAAATGCTAAATACCTTAACTTTAGATTATTCTTTAAATCCGTCTTGCTTTTTAAGACTTGTATGAACAGCAATGATTTTCTTAAAAAAAGGGGATAGGAAGTCATATAGGAAGAGGTGTGTGTGTGTGTGTGTGTGTGTGTGTGTGTGTTCATTGTGTTTTGTTGAAACAAAATTTTAAGTATGGCATTCAAGTTTATAAGAGTCTGTTACAAATTTTAATTTAGAGTTGACTTGTTTTAGAGTGGCAGAGAGGTTATGGGGACAAATGACTTCATTTTACTCATTTTCTATGCACTCTTTATTTAAGAAGACTTCTGTTAATCAACAAATAACTGCTATGTGCTAAGCACTGTTGAAGACAAATGAAGTGTCTTGTGTTCTTTTATTATTAATCTGTTTTTATTTCTACCCTAATAGTCACATAGTCCTAATAGTGTGTCTTAGGGACACTTTTCAAAGCTATCAAAGTGACATTAGTTGCTCTTACTTTGCTCTCATATATTTTTTTTTATTTCAAAGCACTTTCTTGGGCATTTATTTACTTGAATACTTCCCTACATTTTTAGATGAGATACTAAGTATCACAGAAGTTAACTAACTTGTCTAAGATTTATATTGATAGTAAGTAACAATGAAAACTTAAAGCAAGGTTTTCTGACTCCAGAAAATTATTCCCAATATTATGTTAGCACCTCTGTTAATTCATGTGATTAATTATAGCTTAAAATCTTACTTTTAATTTATTTTCATCTTTGTTTTTAAGCTTCTAACGTTTCATTCCAAAGAATGGACTGATTCTCACCCTCCTGTATGTCTTCAGCTTCATTATAAGCATTCTGAGAATAAAGGACCCCAGGTAAGAGATCTTTTTCTGATTACCACCTGTAAATTTGTTGTTTTGTTGTTAATCCTCACCCAAGGATATTTTTCTATTGATTTTTAGAGAGAGTGGAATGGAGGTAGGGAGGGAGAGAGAGAGAAAGAGAAAGAAACATGGATGTGAGAGACACATCGATTGGTTGCCTCGTACATGACTCTGACTAGGGCTAGGGATTGAACCTGCAACCCAGGCATGTGCCCTTGACTGGAATTAAACCCATAATCCTTCTGTCCCTGGCCAGTGCTCCAACTGCTGAGCCAAACCGGCCAGGGCACCACCTGTAAATTTCTATTTGATACATATTTTGTCATAGTTTTATATTATTGTTAGTGATTATATTAATGCTTTTTTTTTTTTTTTTTTTTTTTTTAAAGGGTAATCAAGCAAGACTTAGTTCTGTTCCTCAGAAGGCAGAATTACAAATTAAATTAAATCCAGTATTTTGTGAGCTGGATATCAGCATTGTGGACAGGTTAAATTCATTGCTTCAACCACAGAAACTTACTACAGTAGAGATGATGGCATCTCACATGTATACTTCATATAATAAGCATATTAGTTTGGTAAGTATTCAAAAGTTGCAAATATGAATCAGAATTATTTCTACCTAATAGGCTTATTTGGATTATTTCTGAGCCTAATTATTCTTAATAAATTAAATAGTATATACTATTAAAACAGCATTATTGGTAATAATGAAAAAACGGAGACATATTTTATGTCAAGATACTAGATAGCTAAATCAATTTTGCTAATATACTGAAACTCTCTACACCCACGTTAATGATTATGAAGATGGTACAGCAACATGAGCATGAAGAAGTAAACTTCCACTATAACTGTGTGAATGAACTCGATGTATAGAGAAATAGAATGAGTAGAAATAGGTCAGTTGGTAGCATTGATTATCTTAGAGTAATAGAATTAGATTTCCTTTCCTTTTCTGTGTTATCTGAGTTTTACAAACTGATTCTATCTTCACAAAATTTTAGCTATTCACACATTTTACAAAATATTTGAGCCACCTATAAAATGCAGCCCATATAAGATATACTTTTGAAAATGGAAACATATTAATGATATTATGTTATTGAGCATCACATTATGTCACTTGCACTTCGACCTGGTGTCTGGTTTCTTTTCTAAGCAAATTAAATAAGTCAGATTTGAAAGAAGTCTGTTAGGAAGCTGGGGGCTGTAGAACCAGACCCGAGATAACTTTGGTTGAAAAGAAAGGGGAAAAGATATTTTATTTTTATACTTTATTTGTTTCTTCCTCAATTAGTGATGATATTCACATTAAATCAGCATTCTTTATTTTTTGTCACCAGTTGCTTGTTATTTTAAGTTCTGTGGCGCTAATGTCTAAATTTGCTGTTAGCCATAGATGTTTTGGGATGGTGGTTTAATCTCTTGGGCTGAAGTAAGAGTTAGTACTGGAAAGTCAAATAGGAGAGAGAAAGAATAGTTTTGTTAAAAATCCAAGCCTAGCATAAAAGGGAGTTTTCTAATCTGGGAGGTTAGAGACTGATTCATGATGGTGTACCCTGGACTAAAGCTTTATGTTTTAATACATTTTAGAAGAAAAATAGAAATAGTCTTTTATCAGAAGGACATGTTCTTTGAACTTTTTATTGTAACATGGCTTTGAGTAAATGGTACATATATATTTGGTTTCTAAGAGCCATTCCATGGGATCATACCCTTCGGTTGTATGGGAACTCAGAGTGAGTCATTTAGTGAATATTTATTTAAGAACCCATGGTGTGCTAGGGTCTGGGTTTAGTCCAGGAAATACAAAGATGACTCAGGGATGGTCCTTTGCATTTAGCTTAATTCATCTGATTTCACATTCATATTGAGTCTTTTAAGTAGCGTATTTGTGGATAAATACTTCATATTGAATATTGGGTGCTATTAACTGTTGAATTTGTTGATAGCTAATTTACATGTTATTTTTAAATCTGTGGTAAAATATATATGCCTATGTCTTCACTTTGGTTCAGCTTGCTTATTTATGTATTTATTTATGTATTTATGTATTTATTTATTTATTTAATGAGGATTTGCCTTTGGCCAGTAGTTCTGGCTTTTGTCAGTAGCAATCTGATTATAAAAATTCACTACACTAAACTAATGTGGTGGTGGTTATTTTGAATTATATTTTAATGTACTATATTGAATGAGGAAATAGTGATTATACATATTGTAATGTTGACTTGAGTACTAATGTCATTTATGTTTATTTAATTTAACATTTGGCTTGTTTTTAAATTTTTTTTTTTGTTTTAGCACAAGGCTTTCACTGAAGTATTTCTAGATGACTCACATAATCCTGCAAATTGTCGGATATCAGTACAAGTTGCCACACCAGCATTAAACCTTTCTGTTCGCTTCCCAATCCCTGATCTTCGATCAGATCAAGAAAGAGGACCATGGTTTAAAAAGTCACTTCAGAAGGAGATTCTTCATTTAGCATTCACAGATCTAGAATTTAAGACTGAATTCATAGGAGGATCAACCCCAGAACAAGTTAAACTGGAACTTACCTTTAGAGACCTAGTTGGTAAGATTGAACATTCCTGTAAAGGAGCCAGACTCTCACCAAACAACTGCTGCTGAAACTTATAGCCTGAGAAAAAGTCTGTGACAGCTGCAAAATATAAAATTAAAGAACATTATTACCAGTATTATATACAAATATATAATAGAAGTCAGTTCTTGGAAAGAAATTTCTAAGCATGATGAGTTATTCCCCTCGTTACAGTACTTCTTCTCTCCAGGGGAGTGTGGTGCAGTTGTCTGCATTTCACCACCAGCCACGCGTTCCGCTTACTTGGAGGGCTGCTGGTGGCCAGAGCTCGAGTGCCGGCCGCTCTGTGCTAGCCATGGCACTGAGCGCTTCACACACGCTCTCGTTTTCTTTAATCATCATGCTTATGGAGGCTTGTCACTTTCAATCATTCTTGTCATTTGTAAGTGAGGAATCTATAGACTTAAGCAGAAGGTCATGTAGCAGTAGGTGGCAGAATCTAGATTCAGACCCAAGTCTGACACTAGAGCTTGAGCTTTTTACCGTCATACTAATTTCTAATGACTTTTCTTTATTTTATGTTTTTCTGCATTACTTTGCTTTTGTCAGCATATACACTTAGAGTGAATTGAGTCTGTGAAGAACTCGGGAAGGTTTTGATGTTTTAAAAAAATTTTTAAATTTCTTAACAACCTGCCTCTGCCACTGCACCTCCCCTCTGCATCTGCCCCTTCTAACCACACCCCCCCTCTGCTCGCCTCCTGCTTGGGAATAGGCTCAAAGTTCCCTCCCTTTTTCTCTCTGAGTTTTTACACATTCCTAGAGATATTTAAAATTGTTGCCAACTGTGACTTGATGAAAGGGCTTTTAGGGGTTATCTAATCTTCTCTCTCATTATTCTGGAGGGAAGTCATTCTTTGTAAAATGCAGAGAATAGACATATATAGGCTGTTGTGAATAGAGGTAATTCTTACAGTGCTTGATACAAAATCTACATTTAAGATGTAGTTATTATCTCTGTGTCCCTAGATTAACTGCATAAAGTTTTATGAAGAAAAATCACTGAGTGGCACTCAGTAAGTGGTACCTGCTGTATTTACTATACATTAAACACTGGTACTTAAAATTTTGAGTTTGAACAGAAAACAGTATCATTAGTTTATCTGCTCATTGTGTCCCCACATGTACACAAGAAACAGGAACAAATGCATAAATGCTGTAGAACTTAATGTTGCATTATGTTCCTGATTTAGAGGACCTTGGCTCTCCTAATGAGGAAAGTACCTTTTAGCCCTTGAGAAGAAATACATTTTGATTAATCAGTCTTATTTTATCAGGGTCATTCCAAGAAGATAAGGGAGAGCCATCTATTAAATTTCTCCACGTGTGTAGTGGAGTAGATGGAGATACAACATCATCAGATGACTTTGACTGGCCACGGTGAGTAAGAAGATGGATATGATACATACATTTAATGAGATTTTCCTTTAAAAAATAAATTACTATACTCTTTTTAACCGTCATTTTGGCTACTAAATTTAAGGTAAAAATATCCAGCATTGATGAGAGAAACCCAGAGGAAGATGAACAAATGAAATAAAAAATGTATTTTGAATATTGCTCTATGAAAGGTGTCTGTTAGGTGCTATGAGAGATGGAAGCATAAGATGTGTTCTCTGGTCTCAAGTTACCTAGTCTAAGTGGAGGGACCAAAGAATCACTATTTTAAAAATAGTTCAAGCCCGACTGCTGTGGCTTAGTGGATTGAGTGTTGTCTCATGGACTGAGGTGTCCCGGTTCGATTCCTGGTCAGAGCACGTGCCCAGGTTTCGGGCTTGATCCCCAGTGGGGGGGGCGTGTAAGAGGCAGCTGATCGATGTTTCTCTGTCACATTGATGTTTCTATTTCTCCTTTCTCTCTAAAAAATCAATAAATACATTAAAAAAATAATAAAAATAGTTCAGGGTTGCAGTAGAAGAGATGTCATGTCACCATTTGATTAGTTGTCAAATGAATTTTATAGTCACTGATGTTTTGGGACAGTGTTTTTCAAATCTGGGGAGATTTGATAAAATACTGGTTCTTAGGCCCTACCCTGGATTCTTGGATATAGTTTGGGCATCAGTATAGCTTAAAAGTTACACCAGGTGCCTTGGTCGGTTTTTCTCAGTGGTTAGAGCATCAGCCTGAGGACCGAAGAGTCTTGGGTTCAATTTCCAGTCAAGGGCATGTACCTGGGTTGCAGGTTTGATCCCTGGCCCTCTCAGGGTTGTGTGGGAGGCAGCCAAACGACGTGCTCTCTCACATCAATGTTTCTCTCTCCTCTCTCTGGCTCTCTCTCCCCGTCTCTCCCTTCCACTCTAAAAATTAATGGAAAAATATCTTTGGGTGAGGATTAACAACAACAACAAAACAATAAGAAAATTAAAGTTATACCAGGTGATTCTAGTGTGCAGTTGGACTTAGAGAACCACTGTTTTAGGATTCCTTAGGCAGATCTGATCTTTTTTTTTTTTTTTTTTTTTTTTATCCTCACCCGAGGATATTTTTCCATTTTTTGTACAGATAGAGTGGGAGGGAGAGAGAGGAAGGGAGAGAGAGAGAGAAACATCGACGTGAAGGGACACATCGAATGGCTGCCACCCTCACGACCAACCAGGGCCGGGGACAAACTGCAACCAAAGTATGTGCCCTTAGCGGGAACCGAACCCGGGTCTCTTCGGACCACAGGCCAACGCTCTAACCACTGAGCCAAACTGGCCAGGGCTACTTAGGCAGATCTGATCTTTCATTAGGTTAAATTAGCCTGATAGTGTGCTTGGATCATATTTAAAATAATTTACTTGAAATAGTGATCCATCATTATATTGAAAACTAAGTATTTGAAGCCTCTCTAAAAGTGATCTTTTTCGTGCCATTTCCCCGCCTGTCTTCTTTTATACCCTGCCACCTGTGTGTCAAACCTTCAGATTCTAAGGACAGACATTATCAGTACAGGCCTGAAGAGCTGCAGGACTTCACAGCATGAGTTTTCATCATAGGAAATGGATCTACTTCAATTATGTCATTTGGAAGCACAATTTACATGAGGATAACTATAAATTAGGAAGCAGTTGTGATAGTTTACAACTAGAACCAACTGATACCACCTACTTAGTAAAGAAGAAAAAAACATTCTAGATGCAACACATGTCTGTCTGATTTGGGGGTGCATGCCTCATCATGACAGTGGGCTGATGTAGTGATAAAGAAGAGACCACACAACCTTCTGCTAGTGATGTCCAGCAGAGGATGAACACAAGCCTTTTATTCAAATTCCTAAAGGAAAAGATGACTTTGTTGTTACAATTCTGAAAATATTCCCTAATCAATTCTCCCCTTTTCCATTTGAACATTTTTTATAACACATGGTGTCCTGGGTATGTAGATATTCCGTAATAGCAGAACAGACTGCATGTGGAAGGATTGGGGTTAGGAGAATAAATAGAATTCTTAGTGAAATTTAAAAATAATCTTTGTATCCTCAAAAGGTCAGAATTTCAGTTAGCTAAGCATAACATGTTAATGCCTTTTATTTACTTGTTTCATCAATTCCACACTTTTAAGTTTACAACTCAGAAATGGGTGGATTAGATATAATTAGAGTTTGTAGAGAAGCTAAATCCCACCATTAATGTTTCAATCAGTGGTCTTTGTATTAATTTGCATAAAAGTTAAAGTTTTGCAGTTTATACATAGATCTTGATTTTTAAAATTGTCTTTGCTCTCAGAATTGTACTGAAAATAAATCCACCAGCTCTGCATTCCATTTTGGAGAGAATAGCAGCCGAGGAAGAAGAGGAGGGTGATGGGCACTATCAGGAAGAAGAGGAGGGTGGTGCTCATTCCCTGAAGGACGTGTGTGATCTGAGAAGACCAGCCCCCTCTCCCTTTTCTTCTCGTAGAGTCATGTTTGAAAATGAACAGGTAAAATAAAAGTGTAGCAAGCCATGAAGGAATTATCCTCCATCGTGTAGCAATGGCTTTAATTCTTTTTCTTTAAGAAAAATAATATACTGTTTGCCCTAGGTTTTTAACTCCAGGGTTGAATAATATTTTTTTTTCTTGGTTAAAGTTTAAAGTTACATGCTTATTGCTGACATATCAGGTTCTATGTCTAGAGTAAGAAGATGCAACTACTATTTTAAACATATGATGGTTATTTGATGAATTTTTGTGCACTAAACTATTATATTTTAGATGGTGATGCCAGGAGACCCTGTAGAAATGACAGAGTTTCAGGATAAAGCAATCAGCAATTCTCACTATGTGTTGGAACTTACGTTACCCAATATTCATATAACACTACCTAATAAAAGCTTTTATGAGAAGCTTTATAATAGGTGAGTTAAACACATTTAGTTGAATCTTTGGGTTGGACTTTTCTGCCTAACTGCCTTCCTACCTCCCTATTCCCCCTTTTCTTTCCTTGCTTCAGTATTATCTCCCTCCTCAGTGTGCTTTGTATGGTGCTGATTATAGAACCGTTACTGTTAACGGTGTGCTCTCGTCATTGTAGTTTCCTGACCAGTGTGTCTGGTAACTGTGTTACTTGTGTGTGAGATATTTATTCCCTTTGCCCTCATGTTGGCTGGTTGCCCTGTCATCTTACCATAGGTACTGAGCAAATACCTCTTCTGTGTGTGCAATGACATGTTTAGAGTTGGGAGATAATTGTGTAGACAGCAACAGATACTGGGGTAGAGTCAGAATCCTAGAGTCTTTGTAAAGGAGCATCCCTTCTCGGAGTTCAAAAAAGGATCTTATTTGAATGATAAACTCTAACTTAAAAACTTCTGTATAAAAATGTAAATTTATTGTATTTAAAGTCCCTTAAATATATATACCAAGAAAATATGTTTAAATAAATGACATTCTAGAGTTGAAGGTCATAGACTGTGAAGACTTTGGACAGTTTACCTAGCCTGCATGAGCTCAGCTTCCTCATCTGTAAATGGAGGCAATACTTGTGTTGGCCTCAGTGGGTTGTTGGGAGAGTTAAATGATGCAACACTTGGAAAATTCTCAGAACAGTGCTGGCGCATAGAAAACACTCAGCAGTCATTTGTGATTGTTATCATTTCTACCCACGGAAGGAATCTCTTCTGTAGCATCCCTGAAGGTGGTCGTGTGAGTTCTGGATAAAGATGTCCTTAGGTCTGTCACCACTAGCTTCCACATGTAAGCGGTTATTCTAATTTCTGCCAATCTTCAGAAACCTCCAGCTGTAGATTTGCTTGGTGTCAAATATCACTGGCCCTTTATTCCTGAATTGTTAATATTAAGCTCTGCATCTCCTCACTGACTACTTGTGACCAGGACTGATGGTCTTAGAATCAGAAAATTAAGTTCCAGAAAGATCTTGAAGATGAGATTCACAGGATAGTCCATTGACTGTAGGAGGAAAGTGTTAGTGCTTCTATTTAATTTAAAAAAAAAACTTTAACATTTTATATTTATTTTATAATATACGTAATTTATAAATAGTTGCATATAATTTATACATTCACATTAGTGAGCTTTCATAATATTTTTAACTGTTAGAGTTTACATTTGATCTAAAGTTTGGAAGCTACTATTCTCTAGACTATTTTTCTTATTTTATATTTGAGGAATGTCTACTAAGAGCCTACACATATGCAAGGCTAAAACTGAGCAAAGTGGAGTGACTAGTTCAAGGGCAAGCTCAGATCCAAAGGGCTTAATCTATATTTTCTTTCTGTATTATTTGGTTGGTTAAATTGAGACATTAGAACAGTGATACATGCCTTAAACATGCAGTTTATAAATGTGTTTATTTACCACTTCTTTTTAAATATAGGGAAAGGCCTGTTTTTCAGCATGGGTCATTACTTGGAATTTTTGCGTAATGTATACCCAGGAGGCTTTGTCTATAATTTTCAGTTTCAATTTCTTTGGAGTGGAGTAAAAAAAATAAATAATTTCAAAACAATCTGAGTGCAAAGTCCTTCTAGCTTTTTTTTTTTTTTTTTTATCCTCACCCGAGGACATTTTTCCATTTTTTGTTCAGATAGAGCAGGAGGGAGAGAGAGGAAGAGAGAGAGAGAGAGAGAAACATCGATGTGAAGGGACACATTGAGTGGCTGCCACCCGCACGACCAACCAGGGCCGGGGACAAACTGCAACCGAGGTACATGCCCTTAGCGGGAACCGAACCCGGGTCTCTCTGTACCGCAGGCCGACGCTCCAACCGCTGAGCCAAACCGGCCAGGGCCTTCTAGCTTTTAAGACTTTTTCCACCTTGTAGACTTAAAAGTCCTGAGTTAGCACAACATTTAATTAAACTATACTTACAATAATAAATACAGCTGGGATGAGCAGATTTGAGGTCAGACGCTATTGACTCACAGTGAATAGACAAAACAAAGGGCTCAGCCAGTGGGAGAAGTTCTCAGCTGTGCTAGAGAGTAGTCTGTACCAGCGGCTGGCAGTCCGCATGTGGGGACATCTGTCAGTGTGATAGATGGGGTAGTTGATTGCTTAAATCAGGGAACTAGCGAGTATCGGTTCATCTGGGAGTTGGTCAAATGAGGGTTGCTTAAGAGCATTCTGTTCTATCTTACTCTGCCCACTTGGGCTCTCAGGCCCCTAGAATTAGGTAAATTCTGAAGTCCCTCACCCTGTGGGTCATGTAAGTCATCTGTAAGTTCCTCAGGGTGTGAATTCTTTGTCCCGTATTTAGCTTAGTATATATTTATACATTTTAAAATAAATATGATTTTCCCCGGCTTGTTTGGCTCAGCAGTTAGAGCATCGACCTGCGGTCCAAAAAGACCCGGGTTCGGTTCCCTCTAAGGGCATGGACCTCAGTTGCAGTTTGTCCCCGGCCCTGGTTGGTCGTGCGAGTGGCAGCCACTCGATGTGTCCCTTTCATGTCGATGTTTCTCTCTCTCTTCCTGTCTCTCCCTCCCACTCTATCTGAACAAAAAATGGAAAAATGTCCTCAGGTGAGGATAAAAAAAATAAAAAAAAAATAAAATAAATATGATTTAAAAATGTTAACATTCCTAAACTTGTAGAAAAGTTGCAAGTACAGCTAAAATAACTCTTCCCTGAACCCTTTGAGAGTAAGTTGCTAACCTGATGCCCCTTCAACTTGGAGCACTTGAGTGTGTATGTTCCATGTACAAGGACATCTTCCACATAACCACAGTTCACCAGTCACAGTGAGGATGTTAATATTGTAATCCTCAGATCCCATTCACCTTTTGCCAGTGTCTCCATAACGTCCTTATATATTTATAATTCTTATAAAAACTTCTCTGATCAGGAGTTATAACCAACTCTATCTTTACTTCATACATTTAAAATACTGGGTCACTCCTTTGGTGCCTTGGCCAACTAGCTCTTTTTAAAAAGATAGTCTCAGGTACAAGAGAATTTTTTTCTGGGTTAATAGTCCTTTAGAATAGAATATAAATATAATTCTAACTTTTTATTAAGTATTTATTGAGCTTCTGTTATGTTTCAGGCTCATAGTCACAGAATCATGGTGATTGGCCCTTAAATATCTTGTGTTTTCTTTCTCGTTATTAAAAACATTACCTGATATTTTATAGTATTAATGCTATCAAGACTGTGCTTAGACCAAAATATAAATAAGGAAAACAGAAAAATCATATGAAATTTTATTTATGTACCATGAACTCTAGGTTTTACTTTAAGTAATAGTTTCTCTTTAATCTATGCAGATGAGAGGATAGTTGTAGGGAATACGGTAAAGGAAGAGCATTTCCTGAGAAGATTAATTTTATACCTTCACTGTGTATTTATATAGGAGTTTAGACTAAGATCTGGATTTAAACCCTTTTGCTTTAATAGATATGTCTAAGAAGCAGTGAGCAGATGAGCACCACACAGTTTTGGGGGACAGCTGTCAGGGTGTTCTAGATGAGACATACTTCTGCCCTTTCGCCCTGGTGTCTTTCACCTAGAGATGCTTCCAAAAATAGTCCTTCTGGGTGGGGATTATATCTACTGTGAGTCACAGTCCTCAGTCCTCAGTCCTGGTTTATACTTCTGGGGCTTCAGAAGCTCAGGAATTGGCCTGGGAATTTCCTAGATGAGTGGCTTTTCACAGGAAGGGGCTAGGGCTACATCATCATCACTACATCATCATCACAGGGCTACATTGGCACCTTGCTTGGCATTCACATTAGGCTTTACGTGAGTCTTACGTGGCAGTCCTTCCATGTGAGTCACGTACTGGTCCCTTGATCATCAAACCTTCACTGCCTGCTCTGTGGGAGCCACTGTGCTGGGCACATATGAAGATGATTCAGATACGGGCCCCTCTCTCTGAAGGGCTGCAGTCTAGGAAATAAGAAAATACAGTAGCATGTTATAGGTGCTGTGGTTGAATTATGTATATGTGAAGGAGATGCTACAGGTTCAAATTGTAACAAAAGGCTTCTTAGAAGACACTCTGAACTCCTTGTTTTCATGAAAATATAGAGATGGGTGATGAGGGGAGGGTAAGGGCAGAAGGACATCTGAGTAGAGACAGATATTTCTGGTGGTAGCCTAGCTTGACATCTGTCGCCCCATCAGTCACCAGTATTGACTTAGCTAGCTAGCTAGTTAGAAAGATTTCCTTCCTTCCTTTATTCCCTGTTCTGTATGCATTCTTCATCTCATGTAGTCTTCCCAATGAGACTGCTTTCTGGTGAAGAGGGAAACCAGATATCCCCAGAGAAAGCGAGTAATGGAAAAGTGCATTGGGAGCTGGCCGTGATCTGGGCTCTGGTCCCTGGTCCCAGTTATCCCACTGATTAGCTGTTTGACCGTGACCAGGTCCCTTAAACTTTATGAGGCAGGTTCTTCAAGTGTGAAGTGAGAGTAAGGATTCTGCCTTGGCTGCTCCCTGGATTGGTGGGAGAGTCGATGAGACAATGCATGATCTGCTGTAGTTAGAGAGCTCTCACATATGTGAGCAGTCTTCCTTTTGTTGTTTTAAAATTTTTTAAATTAACTCCCTCCTTTAAAGTGCACGTAGATGTATGTAATTTGATGCATGTAACATAGGTAAAACTAGACAAGTATCTACTTGTACAAATTTTTTTCTTACTGCCCTGCATTATAGCCATATCAGTTATTTTCCCATTGTATGAACATAATTGATATTTAAATGAAAACTTTTGTAGGATCTAATTTCTGTTTCACCATTTAGAAAAATTATTATTCATGCAATTTCTTAAAAGGATATTCTTTAAAGTTTTTTCCTGTAGTTAACTAGGAATTATGCACTTACTTTTCAACTTTGACTCTACAGGATCTTTAATGACTTGCTGCTGTGGGAACCAACAGCTCCTTCACCAGTGGAGACTTTTGAAAATATTTCATATGGTATTGGGCTTTCAGTAGCCAGCCAGCTGATCAATACCTTCAACAAGGATAGCTTTAGTCCATTTAAATCTACAGTTCACTATGGTAATATGTTTGAATTTTGTTCTGATGTCACTGCCTGGTTTATCAGTCCAATAGTAGCCTTTTCAGTTAATGGATTTAAAAATGTTTCTTTGATGACTTTTTCATTTATATTTTATATTATCTCTTAGTAATTTATGTTTTCCTGTTCCTATCTGTATATTGAGAATATTATTAATTAAATGTTATCTTTTTAGTGATAGTATATACATTGTCTTCAGTGAAGCTCAGTGATAAAGTAAAAAAACATAGCATATACATTTTTATTGTCATGCCAAATTGTTTGTAAAGATGAACAGGTTGTAAAATAAATAAATATTCTTGTGATAATGTTCAAGTTGCTGTTTTTTAAAGATAAACTGTCAGAACCATGTAACTGTGACATTTATTTCTCATAGATGAGGAAAGTGGATCTGAGGAGGAGACTTTGCAGTATTTTTCTACACTTGATCCCAACTATCGTTCCCGTAGGAAAAAAAAACTTGACTCTCAGAGCAAGAACTCACAGAGTTTTCTCTCTGTTCTTCTGAATATTAATCACGGATTAATGGCAGTGTTTACAGATGTAAAGGTAAGGATTTACAAATCTAAAGTGTTTCTTCAAGTGCATCTTATTGTATTTTATCTATCTATCAAATTCTCACCTGAGGATACTTTTTTCATTGAGTTTTAGAGAGAGTGGAAGGAATGGGAGGGAGGGAGAGAGAAAGAAAAAGAGAGAAACACTGATGTGAGAGAGAGAAACACATGGATCGACCACCTTCCGAATGTGCCCCAACTAGAGCCAGGGATCTAACCTGCAACCCAGGTATGTGCCCTTGATCAGGAATCAAACCTGTGACCCTTTGGTGCAAAGGTCAATGCACTAACCGCTGAGCCACACTGGCCAGGGCCAAGTGCATCTTATTTTAAATTTACCATGATAACACATCCTGTAATTGAGGAAGTTTGAGGTGGTTTCAGTGACTAAAGATCAATTTTCTGACGACAGCAGCTTTGGCAATTTACCTTCCGTTGCAGATCAAAAGACAAACGTTATATACACCTTCCTTTGGAAATCACGTGCTGGTTCTTCTCCTGGGATGATAACTAGTAATTTGTCCATTATCAAGGAGGATGAAGCACAGGGATTCATTCGACAGAAGAGGCCCCATTTAGTTTTTCAGTTTTCACACCACTGTGTCAGATGGATCAGGAGTCAGACCACCTGGCTGCAACATGATAGATTTTTGTCCCAGGGTTTCTGCATTTAAATAATGACATCTATGTTTTCTGATCTTTTTTTTCTTTTAGAAAGATAATGGAGATCTATTGGAAAACAAACATGGTGAATTCTGGCTGGAGTTCAGTAGTGGTTCGTTATTTTGTGTGACAAAATACGAAGGTTTTGATGATAAGCACTACATCTGCCTTCACTGCAGCACCTTCAGCCTGTACCACAAAGGTAGGGCAGATGTTAAATGTGTGTTTTGTTCACTCCTGTTTAGACATGTTCGAATTTTGTTTAAAAAAGAAAATCTATTTAGAATAGAACTCTGATATTAGAAATTAGTTTCTGTGGGTGTTCTGATTCCACTGGCAAAGCAAATTGGAAGTTTTTTTTTTTTTTTCCAATATGATATAATTCATGTATCATATACAGTTAACCCATTTAAAGTATACATTTCAGTAGTTTTTAGTATTTCAGAGTTGTATAGCCATAATCACAATCAACTTTAGAACATTTTCATTACCCTCAAAAGAAACTCTATACCCTTTAGCTAGAACCCTCTGAAAGCATTCCCATCCCCCCAGCACTAGTCTGCTTTCTGTCTATGGATTTAGTATCCTTGATGTTACCTCTGAATCGAACCATACAAAGAATGGCCTTTTGCGACTAGCATTGTGTTTTCCAGGTTTATTGACGTATATTAGTATTTCATTCCTTTTTATTGCTAAATATTCCATTTTGTGGGTATACCATATCTCATCATCTATTGATCAGTTGATGGAACTGATCTTTATTTTCAAGCAGTATTTCCTTTTGGTAACAGAATTTTCTATTGTTTGAGCACATTTGCTGTGTTACTTTGTAAGTAGACATGAGGTACTGCACATTCTTAATACTTGCCAGATTTACCTATCTAATTTAATTATCCTAGCATTTTAAATCTTAATTTTTTTGAAGTTGGGTACTGTCAGTTATACGAGCATCAGTAGAAAGGGATGGATGACTAACGCCAAGTTGGTTTTTGCTCATTTTGCCTCTAGAATCATGTTGTATTCAGTGGAAGTACATGGTTTTTGTTTTCAGTTATAGAAGTTCGTGAGCTAATTTCCAGTAATCACTTTGCTGTTTTTCACCTCAATGTGGATGCAGGCATAGTGGATGGAGTGATTCTTCCTACAGAAGTACGACTGCCCAGTTCAGCGCGCCCACATTGGTTGGAACCTACTATTTATTCCTCTGAAGAAAATGGCCTCAGTAGAGCTTCTTCAGATGGTGTTGGAGGAGACACTATGAATATGCTTTCAGTTGCAGTTAAAATATTGTCTGATAAATCAGAGTCCAATACAAAGGTTTGTATTTCATACTTTTATACCATTAAATACTTGCTATTGATTTGATTAGTAGCTAAAATGATTGCATAAAAGGCAATACAGTTACTTTGTTAGGAAAACTTCAGGTTTTGAATTAGAGGGGTGTACAGGTGCTAAGTGCGATTCTTTGTGTTGCTGTGTAGGAATTTCTCATTGCCGTAGGACTGAAAGGAGCCACTCTCCAGCACAGAATACTCCCTTCTGGGCTGAGCTGGCACGAGCAGGTAAGAGAGCTGTATGGATGCATCAGTCTTTGTTATCGTGTATTGACATATGTATACTGAAAATTTCACAAGTCATAAATGTTCATTGAGTTATCATGAAGTATACACTCCTATATAACTACCTTTTAGGTTAGGAAATAGAACATTATTAGCACTATAGAATGTGATTGATCTTTTTCCTTAAAGTTTGGTCCCTAAACATTTCAAAGACAGGGTTATCCTTATGTCATTAAAGGGAAGGGATTCTTTGTCCCAGGACCTGTGGAGTGCCTGGCACAGTGTAGCAATGCGTGATGCATTGACTTGTACTTACAACCATATATTCTTTAAGGGCCATACTTTCAGGATTATTCTCTATGCCAATAATATGGTTTGAGACTTTTATAAGGATTTCTGTAATTAACTTCCATTTTAATAACTATATGGTTAATGAAATAATGAAATATAGTTGATTATTTTTCAGAGGAAACTTTGGGTAAGAAGTTAACTCTTTTTATTAATCCTCACCCGAGGATATTTTTTCATATTTTCAGATAGAGTAGGAAGGAAGAGAGAGAGAGAGAGAGAGAGAGAGAGAGAGAGAGAGAGAGACATCGATGTGAAAGGGACACATCGCGTTGTTGACACCCACACGACCCAACCAGGGCTAAGGACAAGCTGCAACCGAGGGGCGTGCCCTTAGCGGGAACCGAACCTGGGTCTCTCTGGACCACAGGCTGATGCTCTAACCTCTGAGCCAAACTGGCTAGGGCAAGTGAACTCTTCTTTATGTGAGAATGAAAACTAGTACACTGATTCTCGTTTATTTTTCTTAGAAAAGGGAATTTTTTTTATTGTGCTGGTAAACTAATAAATTATTTTAAACTTGAATGTTTTCAGAGGGCTTTTTTAATAAAAGCATTTAGGAAACAGGAGATATTCTGTCTACCTACCTACCTACCTACAGAAACATGAGGAGATATTCTTTAGAATATCTGTATCTATATCTATATATCTATGTCTGTAAAATAGGGGTAGATAAATAGTTAATATGAACACTGAGCTGGCTGTCTGGGAGAGCTTCAGCCTGACCTCTTTGTTTGCTTAGATTAGAAATATGTGAGAATAGATGTTGGGGAAAGGGACTGGATTTCAGGCTGAGTTAAGTATAAATAAAGATAAAGAACTTCTAGCCCTGGCCGGTTTGGCTCTGGGTAGAGAATCAGCCCGCGAACCAATGAGTTGTGGGTTCGATTCTAGTCAAGGGCATGTACCTTGGATGTGGTTTATTCCCGGCCCTGGTTGGGTCATGCGGGAGGCAACCAGTTGATGTGGCTCTATTACATCAATGTTTCTCTCTTGTCTCTCTGTCTTGCCCTCCCTTCCTCCCACTCTATCTGATGATAAATGGAAAAATATCCTCAGGTGAGGAATAATAAAAAAAAAAATCTAACAATAGAGTAGTTAGGAATACAGATGGACAGTTTTAAGCAGTCTTCAGGAAAATTTGATTTTTTCAAGACTTGTTCTAAGCAAAATAATGTGGAAGTGTATTTTGCATACTTTGTTAGTTTTTTGTTTTTTTTTATCCTCACCCAAGGACATTTTTCCATTTTTTGTTCAGATAGAGTGGGAGGGAGAGAGAGGAAGAGACAGAAAGAGAGAAATATCGACATGAAAAGGGACACATCGAGTGGCTGCCTCCCGCACGATCATACTGGGGCCGCGGACAAACTGCAACCAAGGTACGTGCCCTTAGTGGGAACCAAACTCAGGACTCTCTGGTCCGCAGGCCGATGCTCCAACCACTGAGCCAAACCGACCAGCGCACTTTGTTAGTTTTATAAGATGATTTTTAAAGGATTTTTGTAGCATTGCAGTTGTTGGATGGGCCTTTGTATTTCCAATTCTAGTTTTGTGAATACTTTTCAAAATGAGTTTCTTCAAAATATTGAGTTTTTCCCCTGTTAGCATTATGATTTTCCAATAAATGGTTGGTTTTTGTGTGAAATTTTTGTTTTACATTGGTTTTAATGATATCATATAAAAACTTTTTTTTCTTCTAAAGCAGGGCATTTTATATTTTTGTGATTATAGATTTTATACTTCTTGAATATTGCTGATGAACCTGTTCTGGGATATAATCCTCCAACTTCATTTACAACTTTGCATGTTCATCTCTGGAGCTGTGCACTGGATTATAGGTTAGTTCACAAATGGGACAAAATAAAATTTTATTATTTAAAATCTGTACTAAGTTTTGTAAAAAAAAAAAAAAACGTGATTCAGTAGCATTAAAGTTTGAAATACTCTTTAAAAGGGATTTCTGTTGTTGCAGCAGACTGATGTTCCGATGTTTCTTTTTGGTGTTAGGCCTCTTTACATGCCAATCAGATCGCTTCTTACTGTTGAAACATTCAGTGTTTCAAGTAGTGTTGCCTTGGATAAATCATCTTCTACGCTCAGGTACCAGTATGAACTTCATTGTCCCCTATATGCAGCTGTTCAAAACATGCTGACTGTCTTATCTAAACCCGCTAGTTAGAGTCTCAGTCTTTGTTCGAGTCAACGTTCTTTCGCTAGTAGCCATGCCCCTTTATCCCAGCTTTCAGTTTTTTTTCTCAGGTGATTAGTCCCATCTGTTCTATTCATTACTGTATTTCATTTTTAGGGAGGAAATAATTCTCGATATTGTTAGTTTACTTTTAAAAATAGATATATAAACTTCTCATAATACCTGGTACACTTTATTTTCATAACTTAAACCTTGAGAACCTAGACATCTATTTAAAAAAAACTGCTGAGACTTCAGAATTAATTTGAGCAGATGATTTAATTTATTTTTTTACACTATTTAGATATTCCTTGCACACATGAGCAGTGAGTCTTAAAGAAATGTTACATGACATTTATAAGTTAGAAGCCGCATATGAGTTTGATAATGTTTATGTGAGAAAGAATGATACAATTCTGTACAGTGAGCAAGTGGCATCTACTCAAGGTTAGTTTTTAGATGTTGAGTTTATCTTTTCTCTCTCTCAGAATAATCTTGGATGAAGCTGCTTTGCATCTGACTGACAAGTGTAATGCGGTCACTGTAAATCTGAATAGAGGTAAGAGTTAAAAACTGAAGTCTGAAGTAGATGAATGCTTTTTTATTTCTTTTTGTGTGTGAATATTTTAAAGCATTTAACTCTGGAATAATGCCAGTGAACTAAGGATTTTATTAAATGTCAGTTTGAAGTTGTAATGTTTTCAAGTGCATCAAATTGTATATGCTCTATTTAACATAAGACAAGTTTTGTTTCTAACTAAGATAAATTGTAGGATTTTTGTGGGATGAGCTATGTTTCTGTTGCATTATACATATTTGTAGCACTACCTGCCATGAATTGTAGAGATGCTAGTTTTATTAGGTGTTGGATAAGCATTTTGGAAAGCTATACTTAAACATTTTCTTAATTCTTAAAATTTTAGATTATGTTCATGTGATGGATATGGGACTTTTGGAATTAACCATAACTGCAGCAAAGTCTGATTCTGATGGAGAACAAGTAAGTTATTAAAATGAATGGAAATTTTTAGTTGTCTTATTTATTTATTTTTTTTATCCTCACCGGAGGACATTTTTGCATTTATCTTCAGATAGAGCAGGAGGGGGAGAGGGGGGGAGAGAGAGAGCAACATCAACGTGAGAGAGACACATTGAGTGGCCGCCACCCACACGACCCCAACCGGGGCCAGGGACAAACCACCCTTAACAGGAACCAAACCCGGAACTCTCTGGTCCACAGGCCAACACTCTAACAGCTAAGCCAAAGCAGCCAGGGCTTATTTTTTATAGGACTAAAAATGTATTGACTTCACTGTAGAATTATTTTTTTACTTACCTAATTTTGGTCAAAATTTATAAAATATTTTTAAATGATTGACTTATTATAAATGCAAATGTCCTGTGACAAGACAAATGATCTTATTTAATGTAAAACTATACTAAAAAGGAAAATTTTGCCTCTTATTTGAAAAACATTTCATCTTTTTTCCCTGTGTTGTGTCCAGACTGACTCGCGCTTTGAGTTGCACTGTTCCAGCGACATTGTCCACATCAGAACGTGCTCAGACTCTTGTGCTGCATTAATGAATCTCATTCAGTACATTGCAAGCTATGGGGACTTACATGCAGCTACCAAGGTGGAAACAAAGCCAGGAGCCCCTCCAAGAAAGACCACGGTATAGTCGGCCACATCATTCGTTAGAACTAATTCACCCCTGCCCCATTCCAGCCGCACGAGTGACGTTCACTTCAGCAGGGTCTTCATGGCAGGCATGAGGCAGAGCAGAAACTGAAATTCATCTGTCTGTTCTTACCTGGGTCTGGAACGGTGATTCCGTGGGCCCTTTTGGAAAATCATTCTACTGCTTGACAGTCTTTGTTTCAGAACATTAATTTTCTCAACCAACATAATACTTTTTTTTAGACTTAAGTTATTATCATCTGTCCTGAGGAAAAAAAGAAAACATTTATCATGTAAGAGCTTGTTACATGCAAGTTTCATGTAAAAATGCTCTGAGAAAATAGATGTCCGGTGTTAGTACTATTACCAGAAGACTTACTTATATAATATTGCCTTCCATATTAATTATCTATAATACTATCCAGTTTTTGGTGTACTTTCTTATATGATTTCCTTTAACTCAGTGCGATACAGAGGTTCAAGATTATTATCTGTTTTACAGATGAGTAAACAAAACCCAGAGAATTTAGGTGGTTTGCTGTAATTAGTAGCAGAAAGAGCACTCCTGGTTCGATGTTATCTTATGCCCCAAGTGCCACCTCTCTGCCCTCTCTTATGTCCAGATTGAACAATGTCCAGTTCGTCTAGCATTGTTTTTTATTTTTCAGTGTGTTTTCATTCTTCATGCCTCTTCTGTGAACATAATTCTCAGTGCCCTTAGGTTACGTGGCCTCTAGTAAGGGCCTGGCTGGCCGTGCGTTCTTCCGTTCAGGTGGTCTCACGCTGCGCTTGTGTTACACTTCTGCTCTTGGTTCCCTGCTGCTGCGCTGTTCCTCCTGGTAACAGCGACCCATGGCTCTTCCCTCTCTCCTGTCTGTTCTCTTTTTCGAACATTCTCTAGTTTATTAAAAGTTATTTTAAATTATCCCCTTCAAATTGGATTTTTTTATTTTATTTTTTTAACTTTATTTTTGTTCAGAGAGAGTGGGAGGGAGAGAAAGGAAGAGAGAGAGAGAGAGAAAAACATTAATGTGAAAGATACACATCAAGTGACTGCCACCTGCACGACCAACCAGGGCTGGGGACAAACTGCAACCGAGGTACATGCCCTTGGTGGGAACCGAACCCGGGTCTCTCTGGACCGCAGGCTGACGCTCTAACCACTGAGCGAAACCGGCCAGGGCTATTTTTTTTTACTTTTTTATTGAATTTGTTAGGGTTACATTGGTTAATAAAACTATATAGGTTTCAGGTATAAAATTCTATAACACGTCATTTGTATAGTGTATTGTGTGTTCACCACCCTAAGTCAAGCCTCCTTCCATCACCATTTATCCCTCCTTTACCCTCTTCTACCTCCCCCAACCTCCCTCTGGTAATCACTATAGGATTTTTCCACTTTAGAATCATGCTCATGTTTAAATGATGATCTGGATTTAAAGAATCCACAGCTCGCTAACTGAAACGGCTGAGCATCGGGCTGGAATTGAGCCCCAGGAAGCACCGCTTGGCAGATTCTCCTCTTGCATATGTTGCTCACTGCCCTGAGGTGTCCATTCACTCCAAGACATGAGGCTGTGAGCTGCAGTGACTTTGTCTCGAAGGCTTGACAGTCTTTGTAGCCGGCAGGTTGAGCAGGTCAGACTCTACAGAGCGATCCCGTCTCCCCTAGCTTTATGGGCCATTTTTCACCTTTTCTCTCTCCTGACGTGTTGCCTCTTCAAGAGCCCAGTTCCTTGTGCTAGTTTTGAGGCGATGACACATTAATGTGATGTGCCATTAGTTGTTGGGGTGATGATGATACTAAAAGCTTAAGATGAAAATGGAACAGCTGCTGGGCAGAATACAGAACAATGAGTCTATTCCTCCTTCTGGTGTTTTGTAGATGGAGTGTATTTCTGAAACAAAATCATGTTAAATAGTTTGCTTTTTAGAGCAATTTCAGTTGTTTTTCATTAGTTTTTTTGACTGTAGGTAGATTCCGGTGGTCGGTCGACCTCACGAGGCCCAGTACTTCCTGAAGCAGATCAACAGATTTTGCGAGATTTGATGAGTGATGCTATGGAGGAGATTGATGAGCAGCAGGCCACTTCCTCTGTGAAACCGCAGTCTAACGGTGAGACAGACCGTCAGGACTTTGCTCTGGAAGCCCTGATGTTGTGGTCGAGGCTTACATTATTCGTGTTCTTATAAGTTCTTCAATAAGTAACTTACTAAAGAAAATACAAGTCTGATATTTGGTGGATGTTTATTAGTCAATCAGCTTGTGGTTACTGAGTGTCTAGTAGATAACACTGACCAGGGTGTTGTTGGGGATGCGGATTAAGTGGAAGACAGAGCTATGTTTTCTGGTAGCGTATAGGTTAGTAAAACAAGCTGGCACTAGGCTAGACTTAAGAGTGATTCAGAAATGATAGAATGGAAACACTTCAGAATGTTACCATTGCATACTCTGCTGTTCAGAAAGGACTGGAATTGGTGCGCTAGGCTTCAGTGAAAGTGTGATGAGTTGGCTTTCAAAGAGTGGGTTTCAAAAATGAGTTGGGTATGTAGAGGGGACAGAGAGGTATCTTGATAAGATCATTAACATCAAGAGGCATGGACAAAGACATGTGGGAGCCCTAGCTACCTAGCAGCTCAGGCTACTGCAGGAACAAAGTTCCCTCTTATTGAAAAGAATTAGACAATGAAGTTGGATAGTCAGGGAGGAGAATCCAGATGGGAAGCATCTAAATATTTTGAAGCATGTATCAAAAAAAATATTTTTTTAATTGGATGAATTTAGCTATTTCTATATGTTATGAACTCTTAATTGTTACAAATTATTGAATGGTGTTATATGACTTTAGCATTAAATGTTGCTTTCATTCTAAATTAGAACTAAGGAAGCAAATGGAAACCTTCAGCTTCCTATGTACCACATTATTTGTAATAAGTCTTAGCAGCTAACCTACTTATGTGGGAAAGAATATTTAATGACAGTTTACTGAGCAGCTTCAATATAGGAGATTCTGTACTAGGCACTTACAAGGATGTGTAAGTTCAAGGTCCTGCCATAGAAGAATTTAAAATCTAGTCTGTGAGCCTCTTGATGCTAAATGTCACCTTATTCATCTTAGTGTTCTCAATCCATATTAAGTGTTTGGTTTGAATGACTGACTAGAGAAAGACTTGGTGAATCTAGTATGAAATAAAATGTGTAAAAATATATGTTTACATAGAGATTTTGGTGCAAATACACTCTTTTGTGAACTTCGTCTCGAGAGAGCTGCCTGAGAACAGGTGTCCCATGTGGGTGTCGAGCACTCCGGAAGTCCTCTTTGGTGGTTTGGAGACCTGCTTGGCAACGGTTTCCTCTCCCCTCCATGAGCAGAGATTTCCTGTAGTTCTAGGGGAGGCATTGCTGGGCACATCTGGTTTCCCCTGCTCTTAAAATATTGTCCAAGGCATTTCTTCCAAGCTCTACCCACAAGACAGAGTTGTCAATATGAAATTCTGGCTAAAACCAAATTGCAGTCAACACTAACCATCTGCTGCCGAATTCCTGAGCTTCTCTAACGCAAATAGCTAAGAGGAGACTGTAATTTCATGAGACCATCATTTACTCTTTTCTTAGGGAACTTCAGACTTATTTTTAGTCTTTTTATTAGCAGTCAGAGGATAATTGTGAGGAAAAGAATGGGGTTTTGCAGGTGAAAGCACTCAACATGATGTGTCTCTGACACACGGTTAAAATGCTTACAGAGAATTGTGGCTGATGATGATGTTTCAGAATGTGCCCAAACCGAATGCTGTAATCTTTCTTCCTAGGTGTTTTGGATGAAAGATCTCACATTCAGGAGCCATGTTGTTCGGACCTCTTCCTGTTTCCAGATGAGAGTGGGAATGTGTCTCAGGAGCCCGGCCCCACTTATGCTTCATTCACCCACCACTTGATTAGTGATGCAGTGACAGGTGTGCCCACTGAAAATGATGACTTTTGCATTCTCTTTGCACCATGAGCAACCATTCAGGTAATAAGTTATTAATAACATAATTGAGGCCGTAATATAGTGTTACAAATTGAATTGTCCAAAGACCTAAAAAGATTATTTGAATTTAACTCTTTATAGTTCAGAATTACTTTGTTTTGTTATTTACCATCAATGCTTTGTAAATGTTTATTATACTCGCCTATTTCTATGATACGTCTCTCAAAGACTTAGAGAAGAATGCTCTGTATTTGCAAAATTTCCCTCATAGGTAATTGAACTGCAGATACTGTGCGTAGTAGGATAAGTCTTCAGGGTGGGGAGTTCCAGGGCAGAAAGGGGTGCTGCAGAGTTGCTAGTCCAAGAGCCGGGAGAGGTGCAGTGTGGTTTGTGTGAAGGCTGATGGTCGGCTGATATATGTAATTTTGTTTGAGAGTCATGCTCACATTTAAAAAGCATGGTCTGCATTTAATGAATCCATAGTTTATAAACCAAAATGTTAAGCGTTGGTGCTAGAATTGAACCCCATTCAGAATGAGTCACTATCTAGTACATCTATGTTTTAACTGCCCAGTAGTAACTTAGTAGATGAGTGTATTTATTTGACTAAGTTCTGGGAGATTGAAAAAATAAAAGCAGTCAAATTCAGGATAAACTCATTATTAGGAACATGGTAATTTGGTCAGAATGTTGGTCAGATTTGGAACACAGTATTGACTTTGAACTGTAGAACTATACACAGACACACACACACACACGTCAACACACACACTCTAAATCTGTGCCTTTTTACTGTCAGCCATGTAGTAAAAGCCAAATTATAGATTATAAAAAATCCTTATGGAAAACTTTACATAGAACAGAGTTCACTTTATGGTTAATAATGCAGAATATCTTGTGTGATGATTAATGTCAGTATTTATTATTTCATTTCATATATCAAAATTACTAGAAAGAATGCAGAATCAAGAAATCCCTTTGAGCCCTGCTGGTGTGGCTCAGTAGTTGAGCACCAACCCATGCAGGTCACTGGTTCGATTCCCTATCAGGGCACATGTACAGGTTGTGTGCGAAATCCCCAGTGGGGGGCATGCAGGAGGCAGCTAGTCAATGTTCTTCCTCTCTCTCTTTAACATCAATAAAGAAAAAAAAGAGAAAGAAATTCCTTTGAGATAGGCAGTATAATCAGTGGTTTTCACTGAGATTAGGCAGTGTGTGTCACCTGTTTATTTCTTTCAGGAGAAGGAAGAAGAACCAGTTGTAAAAATAATGGTTGATGATGCAATTGTGATAAGAGATAATTATTTTAGTCTGCCTGTTAAGAAGACAGATACGAGCAGAGCCCCGTCACACTTCCCCATTCCTGTCGTCCGGTATGCTGTGAAAGAAGTCTCTCTCGTGTGGCATCTTTATGGAGGGGAGGATTTTGGGATAGCCCCTCCTACTTCTCCAGCTAAAAGTTACATGTCTGTTAAATTAATTTCTACATAAGTTTGTTTGGCAAGCCAATTCTTTCTGTAGAAAAATGCATAGCATTTCTCATTTTAAGAAGTATTGATGAAGTAGTATTAAAAATCTGTAATTTGTGTTACTCTTTTTTTTTTTATCTTCACCTGAGGACGTTTTTGCATTTACCTTCAGATAGAGCTGGAGAGAGAGGGGGGGAAAGAGAGAGAGACGTCGACGTGAGAGACACACATCGACTGGTTGTCACCCACACGACTCCAACCAGGGCAGGGACAAACTGCAACCAAAGTATGTGCCCTTAGTGGGAACCAAACCTGGGACTCTAGTCCACAGGCCAACGCTATAACTGCTGAGCCAAACCGGCCAGGGCTGTGTTACTCTTTAAATGTTAGTGTTAGAGTTTTCCATTTTATAAACTTATTTGCAGTATTTGTATTTTTACTAAAATGTGGTGACTTAGTGATTTCCATTCAGTAAAATTTTCTGGGTACCTGCCCTGTGCCAGAGCCTGTGTCAGAGGCACGTTCACTAAAATGAATATGACCTACACCCTGCCCTGGCTTTGAAAGGGAGAGACAGTTGTGGAAGCGACTGAGGGCAGTGAGTGTGTGTCGGGGGACAGGAACCATGCATGCTCCTGAATTTCCAGCTTACCCAGCAGAGTCGATGCTCCTGAAGTCCTCGTTAAATGGTGCATTATTTTGTAGAGCTAGAAGAGAACGACATAGAGTACTAGGCAGTGGTGCAGACATTCTCATTGGGGTGGGGAGAAGCAGAAAAGGCTTCATTAGGTGGTAACCTTTGGCCCAACGATGTAGTGACATTTTCTATTTAAAAGTAATTTTTTAAACACTTGTGAATTTACTACAATTCTTTTCTGTATTCATTGGGATTTCTAGGACTTGTACTCTGACTTTAAGGGGTTTCTGAAGTAACAGGAACTTATAAGGAGGTCTCATTTCCAAGTCTGTCCTGCGACATGAACACTAATACCCCAGTTCGGTTTTTCTTTTCAGCAAGCAGACAGACGACTGTTGCCATGGCAGTAATGCAATTGATGTTCGCAATGTCTCCAAAGTGTAAAAGCTATAGTTTTGATTTAGTCACACAGTTCGTGGCAATGTTCTGACAGCCCTGTAATCTTACTCTCTTTTCATCTTGTTATTTTTTCTGATGTCATTTATTATCTTTCTTTGAATATTCCTTTAACAAAAGCTTCCCCCCTCCAATTATAGCAGTCCCCATAGTTCACCTTCTCACCGACAAGACATGGACGTAATATAGTATGTGGAGGAAAAGGAAGAAACCATGACTTTTTAATGGAAATACAGTTAAGCAAGGTAAGGTGGCATTTTTGAAAGGGAAGTTCTGAAGTAGAAGCATTAGTGAGGGTTCATTAGCGCACCCCCCACCCCACATACAGGCATCAGAATCCCCTTGAGGGTTTGTGTTACAAACACAGGTTGCTGGGCCCCAAAGTTTCTGATTTGGTAGATCTGAGGGAGGGCCCACGAATATGCATTTTTAATGAGTTCTCAGGTGATTCTGATACTGCTTTTCCCAGGACCACACTTGGGCAACCACTGCCTGGAGTATCTACCTAGGAAGGCCTGCGCTGGGCATCACACGTCAGGTCTTTGTGAACATCTAGGGACCAGTAGGGCTAGGCCCCCAGTGACATTACATGCATTTAATTCTGCAGCTTGTCTGGGATTGTGCTAAGTGTCATATACTAGGATGCTTTAACGTGGAAATAGTATAATGATGCCAATTCCATATGTTTAATTGTATCCTTTCCCACTTTGGAACTTGAACTCTGCTTTCATTGATTCATTTTCAAGCAATTTTATTGGTATGCAAGATAATAATTGTATGCCTTATTGCTATTGAGTGTTTTGCTTGAAAAGGATAGAGATTTTGCCAAGGTCAAATAAGAAATGTCAGTGAAAGAATGTTACGTTCTCTGAAAGTGGACTTGAAAGCTAAGCATTCAAAGAATATGATGAGTGATGTTTTGCATTGCAAAGAGAAAATCCAGTTTAAATAAAATGTCAAGATGGCCCTGTGTTCCTTCTCCTGTCTGTGAAGGTGAAGTTTCAGCACGAGGTCTACCCTCCGTGCAAGCCAGAGTGCGACCCCAGCCTCTTAGAACACCCAGTCTCCCGACAGGTGTTTATCGTACAGGATCTTGAAATTCGGGATCGGCTGGCCACATCCCAGATGAATAAGTTCTTGTACCTATGTTGCAGTAAGGAAATGCCTCGAAAAGCTCATTCTAACATGGTAAGATTTAAAATTTGATATTTTTTGTTATATGAGTTTTAGAAAAGTGTTTTTATTATATCTAAGTGCAGAAGATTTAGATTGGGGAAAATTACCAGATATTTTTTTCCAGTTCAATAGGAAAATCCCTTTTAAATATGCTCCTTAAAGTTTTATGGTTGAATATTTATTTTACTTGTCACTTCTAGGGTCCATTAACTAAAATTGTCAGTATTATGCTAGATGAGAGAAACTGGAGTCCATAGTGATCTGCACAAAGTATTTATATTGCTGGAAGTGTTCAGATTTCTAAAACTTTGAACATTTTAGTGGAATAGAAAATATTGGTTGCGGACTTCTAGAAGAAACTGTCCTAGAAGCTGACTCTGGAATATAGGTCTGTGGGTTAGCCCCGGGGCTCGGCACACCCTTTTGAACTGCACACACGGTGCGATGTGCATTTTTCCTCTAAAAAGAGTCCAATCTTTCATCAGATTCTTGAGGGAGTTTGTGACCCAAAAAAGTGTGATTCAGGTTTTTAAGGAAAGAGGGTCAACATTTCCACTTTTTGTCCTAATATAAGGAATAGAAATGTAATATTTTTCTTTTTTTTTCTTTAATGAGAACAAAATCATAATATCATTGGGGAAATAATATTTTTCTCTTTTATTCTTGTAGTTGACAATTAAAGCATTACATGTGCGCCCGGAGTCAGGCAGGTCACATTGGAGTGCTGCTTAAGAGTGTCGCTAATGCCACTTTGCCTCAACATCGACCAGGTCCGTACTGCAAGCATAATTCATGCAACTGTGGGGAAATGCGTATCCCACATCCAGAATGAGGGACTCGATCAGTAGGATTAAGTGCTTATTATTTAACTTTTATGAAAGGTGTGTAATTAAAACAGACTTCTGCTGATAAAGAACAGGGCGAATTTGTTAGGCTTTTGGAATCTGAACTATTGTGAGTAAATGTTCTTAAATGTTATCTCCAGTCTCCTACTCAGTGTCTGCATGATATAGCACTTGAACTTGCTTCTCTCTAATTCTTATGTGCATACTTCTAATGCAGATATGCAGGTATTTTCAGAGAGTCCTACAGGAATCCCTGAAACATAATTGAAAGATAGAAAGGATTGTGTCTTAATCTCAGCACCTGCCAGACAGTTCCTTCTGCTCTGGGTAAAATGACAAATTAGTAAATTGGCACCCAAACAGGTCACAGGTAACACAGATTTATGAAAAGACATAAAGAAACGCACTTTTCCATATTCTAACAAACATCCCATCAAAGTATTCTAGGTTTTGCTTTGAGCCAGATTGCTGTTCAAAACATAGTTGGTGCCTCTTCTGCAAACTTTATTCAAGGATAAGAAAATACGACGCTTTGTAGTGATGTAGTGTAGTGGTGAAGAGCGAGGTTTAGAGTCAGACCTGGGTTTAAATCTCAATTCTCTTTTACTTGTGTGACTTTGGGTAAGTTACTTAACTTCTCCAAGCCTCAGTTTCCTCATTGAAATATTAAAGGAATAGCAATACAGGTAACATCATTTTTTAAATAAAGAGGATTACATGAGATTAATGTATGTAAAATGTTTGGCTTGGTGCCTGGCACAGAATGTTGAAGATCATATAACAACTAAAGACAATAAATGGAGTTTTAAAAATAATCTGCTTCTGAAATAGCAAACACTCCTGTTATACCTTATACTGGTGTGAGCTAAGGTTTGGAAGTAGCGTATATGTGGGACAGTAGCATTTGTTCACTTAATATTGACTGAGTAATGTTGATTTATTATCTAAGTAAGTAACAGATATATCATGAAAAAAACTTAAATAATATTTATAGTGTAAACAAAATACAGGCATGTCTTAGAGAACGTATATTGTGAAATAGAAAAGGTGAGCACAGCTTTACATTAATGTTTGAGGCTTCTGAGCTGAGTCAGACTTACCAAGGAGTACTTTAGATTTATGTTTTCTCATTATGAGAAGAATATCTTTTGATACCCTTGTTTTAATTGAACTTATTCGTACATTGGCCTAGTAGGAAAATGATAAAGTATTTATGGGAAATTTCATCTGTGGAAATTACATGTGAGTACAAATTTGAGCAAGGTACATCTTTATGGCCTGACTTCACCAGGCTCAGTTAGCTCAATTTTCTTTAATAGACTTTTCTCTTTAATATTGAGCTTAATTTCTTCTTTAGAACTATAAAGCATTATGATTTTAAAATGAGGAAATATTAATCTTAGAGAAAACAGTCAGGGAAATCATTGTTATGACTAAACTGAAGAGCAATGGGAAATAATTCCCCAAGATATGAAGCCTTGGAAACAAAGCTGTGCTACAAACATGTAAGCCTCAGTGAGCTATGTTACTGATTAAAAATCCTTTCTAGTTTACAGCTTCTAAGATTGACACACCATATTTTGAGATCGCAAATGGTCATCTGAATAGAAAACCAAATATTTGTGTTCTTCATTCTTTTGAAAAACAAGTCAGTTGATAAATGAAAATGCTTTGAGTAATGTTTTTCTTACCGAGCATATCTGTTTATCTTCACTGTCTCATAGACAGTGAGTATGAAAGCAACACATTGTTTTCTAATGTTTTTTAAAAGCTACACTGCTTCCAAAGCTCGGTGTGCCCGCAGGGTGGGCAGGAAGCTAGGCGGATGGAGTGATCTCCATCTAGGAGGGTAAATAGGTAATGAAGGTCATATAATTAGGGAACTTGAGATCCTAAATATGAAGGGACCAGATTTCCCGACTCTCCCAATCTGCTATTCATTTTAGTATTGTACTGCCTGGAAATCTGTGTAGGAAAGTGATGCTAATTCATTCCAAATCATTTGCTAAATGCTAACTTCATTCCAGATTCTCTAGTGGGATACAGGGGATACAAAGATGAATAAACATCTCATCCTCAAAGGTCTCTTTGTGTGTGGGGAGACCAACATAAAATATGACTTAATACCTGTGGGGAGTACAAGTGATGCAAAGATAGGCTTAGGATGAGATGCCCACCAGCAGAGGGCTCCCAGGCCAGGCTGGGGTTTGGAAGAGTGAGGGGTGATCAGGAAAGGCTTTCTGGAGGAGGGGACACTTGAGTGGGTCAGTGGAGTTAGCCACGTTAAGGTTTTTGTGAAAGCACGAGGGCCTAGTTTCACGTGAGAGGAGATGTAAGGCCATTCGGGTGGGATAAGGAAATGTTCAGCTGAGGCTGGAAATGACGACTGTGTAGCAGGACCAGTTTGCATAATTATAGTTTTTCAGCATCAATACTTAATTGCCTGAGTGTGACATTAAAAGTAATTCTTTTAACACTTTGTCATATTGCACTATTAATATCTTCTGTTGTAGGACCTTAGAGCTAGAAATAATGATTTTGTAGTCCAAGTTTAGCATAAATAATAAACCAAATTTTTAAGTTAAAAAATTGATTGTATTGAAGTATAATTGCATATAATAAAATGCACAGATTTTAGGTGTGTAGTTGGAGCTTGATAATATATACACTTGAATAACTACGACACCAATTGAAATATAGAACATTTTCTTTACTTTCAGAGTTCCCTCATGTCCCTTTGTAGTCCGTCTCCACCACTCCAGATCAACCACTGACCTCATTTCCACCACCATAGATTAGCTTTTACCATTCTACACCTTTATATAAATGTAAATGTATCTGGCTTCCTTTTCTCAGCATTGTGTTCCTTTTTATTTCTGAGTAGTATTTCATTGTATGGGTGTACCACCATTTGTTTATTCATTTACTTATTGATTTACATTTAGGTGTTGTCTTGTTTTTGGCTTTTATGGATAAAGCTGTTGGAAATTTGTGTACAAGTGTTTTTATGGACATATGTTTTCATTTTTATTGAGTATTATAAACAGAAATTCCAGGTCATAGAGTAGATGTATTTATCTGTAATAAAAAGCAGCCAAATGGTTTTTTACAGTGGTTGCACCATTGTGAAGTGTCTCTGTGTTTCTAGTTTGTTTATTTATTTTTTATTTCTCACCCAAAGATATGTCTTTATTGGTCTTTAGAGAGAGGGGAAGGGAGAGAGTGAGAAAGAAACATCAAACTGTTGCTTCCTCTACATGCCCTGACTGGGGATCAACCTGAAACCTAGGTATGTGCCCTGACTGGGAATTGAACCTGCAATTGTTTTTGGTGCACAGGATGATGCTCCAACCAACTGAGCCACCAGACTGGGGCCTGTGTTGCCAGTTTTAAAATTAGGTTCTTTGGCTCAGTGGATTGAGCATCATCCCATGGTCTGAGAGGTACCTATTCAATTCCCAGTCAGGGCACACACCCGGTTGCCAACAGGATCTCCAGTAGGGGGCCTGCAGGAGGCAGCCAATCAGTGTCTCCTTTGCATTGATGTTTCTGTCTCTCTCTCCCTCCCTCTCTGTCTAAAAAAACCAATGAAAACGTATTTATAAAATTAGGTTGACTTATGAATTGTAAAGAGTTTAGCGTAAATTACCAAAATAAAAAATTCTGAGGACATTTTTAAAAGCCAATGATTAGTATCTCTTTGTTGTTTTGTGTGTTTGTAGTAAAAATGGGGAAACCACAGTCTCCTTAGTCTTCCTTTTTTAAAAAAGCACATTTATACCTGGAATCTTCTGTATTTTGAAAGCAGTCATATAAAAACACATAGCATGAAAATATCACCATCTAGTGGCCAAAGAATAACATTTCATATTCTATTAATTTTGTTAACATCTAATACTTGAGATATATGTGCATATCATATATAGTAATATCATAAATACATGTAATGTAGATAATGTATAAAGTATATAAATATATATGTAAAGCATAGTATAATGAACAGATTGTGAACCCACTACCCTGCTGCAGAGCCAGAGCATTTCCAGTGCTGTTGGAACTACCTGCTTGTTCTCCAGTCCCGTCTGCCATGCTACCTAGATAAATACTTCTCTAGTTTTTAGTATTTACACTTCTGATAAATGTGATCAGTAGTCGGTCACATTCTTTGGAATTGCCAGTCAAATTTTTGTGTGCTACCAAATATTGTGACCCTGTAATTTACCTTCACATTGCATTTTGGTGCAATATTAATGGTTTACATTAATTGAGGAATTTTTGAGTGGAAGGGAAGGATAAAGAAGAGGCTCAGACACTTTCCATATTCTTCAAAGCGGAGTTGGAGTGAAGCGGGCAGATGGAGCTGCCGACAGTGGGCAGATACGGCTTGCATGCACGTCAAGATAGAGCCGTGCATTTTTGTTTGTAATTTTATAATTTCAGAAGAGACCAACCTGATGGGTGATTTTAATTATTTTTAATTTTTATTTAGAATATTATGCCCAGTGAAGAAAATGTATGAGGGCAATATAACATAGTGGTAAAAGCAGAAATAAGACAATGAGAACTTTTAAGGCACCTATAAGTAGCCAGGACATACTAGCTGCTGTTATTATTGTTAGTAATGTTACCACCACCAATGTACAGTGAGAACCGATGCCGAGGAGAGTGAGGATACCGTATTTCTAAGAAAATAAAAATATACTTTAGAAGTAGCTATGTAATTTTAACTTCATTTTCACATCTGTAAGTTAATTTCCTCATAGAGTTGTGAGAGCTAACAAGGAAATGCGTGTGATTGTGTGAGTGTGAGAGAGAATGAGAGTAGGAACAAGGCCTGACATACAGTAAGGACTCAGTAAATCATAGCTGTCTATGAATAAATAGTTAAAATGTGGAATTTTTTTTCTTTTTTTTTTTATCCTCACCCGAGGACATTTTTTCATTTTTTGTTCAGGTGGAGTAGGAGGGGGAGAGAGAGAGAAACATCGATGTGAAAGAGACACATCGAGTGGTCGCCACCCGCACAACCCTACTAGGGCCGGGGACAAACCGCAACCGAGGTACACGCCCTTGGTGGAAACCGAACCCGGGTCTCTCTGGACCGCAGGCCGACGCTCTAACCGCTGAGCCAAACTGACCAGGGCAGATGTGGAATTTTAAGATACTTTCTTTCAAAGATTTAGAAATAGGTGTACCTTTCCCCTCCTTTTACTTATAATTACATCTCTTACTTTCAGGATGCCTTGTTCTTCCTGAAGGATTTCTTCACAAGTCTTTCGACAGAAGTGGAGCTGCTCATGGCTCCAGATCCAGAAGGTACTGACCTCGGAGTTGAAAAAGTCTATACCAAGGGCTTGGATTGATTTTGTTATGAGGCCTTTTTGAGAATGCATCAGTATAGTCTCCATTTTCATTTATATGCATGTGTTCTGTGTTTATTTTTGTTAAATTATGCAAATGTAGTTTATGTAAAAGAACTAATTTAAAAGGTGAAAGTCAATTTTCTCTGTAGCAGTTAATTGTGCTTATTAAATGAAATGTAGCAAAACAAGTTCAGTCTAGATTGACTGACATGGTCGCTCTCAGGAAGCCACCCGATTTCTCAAATGCACACATTACATTTTCAGTCAAAAAGTCTCCTGGGGCTGATGTCACCTGCAGTTTGCCAAGGCATTTAAGTACCTCCAAGGAGCCGAGTCTAGTTCTTTCTTTCCCTGGGCCAAAGCAACCTTCCCAAAACGATGCTGCCGATTCAGCGGAAGTGGTTAACGGGGAGGAAGAGAAGGACTTCTCGGCTGAAGAAGCGTCCTTCAGTGACCAGCCGGTGTTTTTTAGGTAAATCATTTAATTTTGATAACAAATGAAGTTCTCTGAGAGTGTTGAAGGTTGTTCTTGAACGTGTCTGTGCTGGGCAGTCATGAGGTCACATCAGCTTCTCGCACCGCCAAGCCAGCCACCGGTGGTTTAGTCCTGTGTCCACCTACCTTCCACCTCGCGTTTCACATGTCGCAGCCCTGGTTACGAGTCATCTCGCCATTGGTTGTGTAGGGGAGTTTTCTTTCCCTCTCGGCTTCTTCCCTTTTCCTCTGCCGGTCTCTCTCCCCGGCCGCCGAATGGCTTCTTTGTGCCTCCTCAGGCACCGTGCTGTTCTTTTCCTCGGCCTTCATCCGCCTCAACTTCGACATTCCTCCCTTTTTCCTGTGGGGATTTCTGTGTAGTTTCTCTGCCTGCCCGCCCCGTCACTGTTGTGTCTTCCCTGCCCCTTTGCTCCCTGGCTAAGTTGGCGCTGCCAGGAAGCCCAGGCCCCTGTGTGTGCGGTGACCACTGACCAGCCTCTTGACTAGCTGGTTGCGCACTGGAGTGTGTCCCTCCTTTCCAAACCCATTCATTTCCCACATCTTCCTTCTTTCCCAGCCCTCGGTGGTAGGGCTGGAGCCTTGGCTCCGCTGGCAGGAGAAAGGAAGAAGATCAAACCCACCTGTGCTGTGAGGGGCAGTTAGCCTCCTTCCCTGGTTTTCTGTTCTCCTCTCTGCCGACACCAGTGGTCCCCAAATTCTGTCTTTCCCTGTAAGTTCTGAGGTTAGACTTTATGTTTTAAATATCATGAATATTGCTGAAAGATACAAAAAGAAAGAAAAAACCCCAGAATATGAGAAGTGGGAAGATCCTGGGGTAGATGATCTCTGGTGTGCCACACCTTGCCACCACAAAGGAAGGACCTCTCATTCCCACATCGATCTTTGTTTCTACCAAGGAAACTGTGTGTTCTAAGTAATCATTTGAATTCTCATTTCATATCAGTCACATATAAACAACCAATCTGGTTTTTGTGAATGCTGGATAACAGGTATGAAAGAAATTGAATTGTTAAAATTCTGGCCTGAAAGCAAAGAAATTTGACACTTTTCAGCTTGTATAGTAAGTAGCCTTACTTACTTACCTAGGTAAATGTTTCTTTATTTTTTATTAGACTAATTAAAGTAGCTTACAGATTTCTGTTTCTACTCTCAAAGCTCCTAGAGGGGTCAGGACCCTGGCATGGTAATCAGTGATATAGTCCAGATCACTCACTGTAGAAATGAGGAAGCTGATTCCCAGAGAAGTGAGCTGACTCGCTCAAGACCACACGATTGGTGGCTGAGTCGGCACTGGAACACAGGTCTTAATCCTGAATTCAGTGCCATGGCTTCATACGTTCTCCCTGATAATTATTCAACATTTAATTATTCAAAAGTGCCCCACCCTGTATTGAACATTTACAGTATGTATGCCACATTTTATTCTAGGCACAGTGAACAAAGTAGAGAAAAATCCCTATTTCACTCAACTTAAAAAGAATTAAAACATACTATTATGTGCCATGGAGAAAAAAAAGAGTAAGAAAGGAAGAGGCGGGTGTTGAGGGGCTGAGCGACAGCTCAGAGAGCCAAGTGGAGATGAATATTCAGAAGATGACAGGTGACCAGGATCCAGGCTTCTTGTAGTGATCGATGTAAACACAGCATTTTCATTTTACCATAGGTTAAGTGGTCTTTGTGGGATGGCTCAGGATGTAGTGACCAACATTAATTCTGTAGAAAAATGTGTTTTAGGTCCCAGTTTCCAGTAAAGCCTTTGGAAGCCAGTTGCTTTTGTTTGATGTGTACCCTCAGTGTCTAATTTTCTCCGTGAAGAATTCCTAATATTTGTGTTTCGATATCCGGTTTATAAGCATAATCTCAAGAATGCTCACTAAAATTCACCACTACAGGTGACATTTCACAAATTTATTGACAAAGACATTTAGGCTCAGAGAGTTAAGTGACTTGCCCATGACTGCGTCCCGTGTAACTGAGAACACTGGGATTCGTGTCCGCTGTTTCCTGCTCTCTCTGCTGTGTGATGGAGCTCAAATAAGTACCTTTCTTTGTACTTTTTTGGTATTGATTATATTATTTGGTTTAATCGTGAAGGTTGCTTTTATTATTTGTTCTCTATGGATTGAGAATATCTGCCAGAATAAGTTTTTTTTCTAAGGTGAACATTATTTAGTAAACTAGGAAAAGGTTTTTGTGAGAAATTTTAAATACAATAAATACAATTTATAAGATGATTAACTTGTTATATTACCTTAAGAAAATGTAAAGCTAAAAGGCATTCTCTTTTATTTAGTGTTTTGTTTTTATTCTCTATTTGAACAAATTAATTTATATCTAAGTTCAACTATTAGTAATGTGAATATAAATAACTCCCTTCCTTTCTTTATCTTCAGAGAATTTAGATTCACATCAGAAGTTCCTATTCGACTTGATTATCACGGCAAACATGTATCAATGGATCAGGTTTGGAAACTTTGTATAAATATACTCTACACAATTATCTCATTTGTTTTTCTCATGGACTCAATTAAAAACTTTTTTCTGTCATAGTTTTATATATGAAATAAAGTACAGGATTTAAAAATATAATTGTTTTTAAAGTAAATTACCATTTGCTTAAGAACGCACAATAAAATTTGATGTAGATTCGGTCATACCTATTATAATATGTATTGTTTTGCTGTAGATATTTTAAGTGTTTCAGCCTCATTAGTGAATATTGCTTTGACTTTCCCAAATAATAACTATTCTACATGCTGAGTCTCTCAATATACAGATTAATGTGGCCTTTTTAAAATTTTAAAGGGTACATTGGCTGGGATTTTGATTGGTCTGGCCCAGTTAAACTGCTCTGAACTGAAGCTGAAGAGGCTCTTCTGTCGGCATGGGTAAGTCACTGAAGTTCGATTACAGCAAATTAAACATAATTTAGTTATTTACAGTGTTGTTTGCAGAGAGCTTATATTTAGAGGATCCTTATTGATTACTGCTAGGTTTTATTCTGAGAGGGTAGAAGTCATTTGAATAAAGTAGTGTTTTTCAAAAACAGCTAGAGTTATGATATTTTTAGTAATTTCCCAAAGTTGCGAAACAGCTTATTTAGTGAAAAGACTAGACGTTCACAGGGTAATGTTCTTAGTAGCTCAGAACTCTGTGGCAATTTGTAAACATTGAGTTAATCCTATGCCAGAGCTTTAGATGTTCCAGAAATAAAAGCAATGGTGAAACACACTTACACATGTTACCTAGGACTTGTAGAAATTATTACCATCACAACTGGGTTATGTATATATGTGTATACATTTATTTGTATAAACATATTTATTTATATATAGATTAAGCATCTATAACATTTTGTCTTTGTAATTTGTAAATTTTCTTTTATCTTAAGTGAAAAATCTCTCAAACTTACCTAAAGCTAAAAATGTTTCTCCTTCCTAAATACTGATAGTCATTTACTCTAGTTTGCTAGGTGTTGACAAACTATTCTCCTATGCAATCACTGAATGGCTTGCTGACATTAAGAAGAACCAGCTGCCAGGAATTCTGGGAGGTGTTGGGCCTATGCACTCACTAGTACAATTAGGTGAGTTTTCTTTTTTTTATCAAAAGGTAGGTTATTTGCCCTGGCCGCGTAGCTATTTGTTTGGAGCGTGGTCCGGTGTGCCAAAAGGTTGTGGGTTCAGTTCCCGGTCAGGGCACATACCTAGGTTGCAGCTTCGCTTCCCCGTTAGACACGTATGTGAGGCAACTAACTGATCGATGTTTCTCTCTCACATCGATATTTTCTATCTCTGCCTTTCTCTAAAATCAATAAAAACATATCCTCAGGTGAGGCTTAAAAAACAAGATAAATTATTTTATCTGAGCTATGGTACATAACCCATTTTGGGTTATGGATGCCCTGGGGGTCTGTGTGAGGACCGCCTTTCTAGAAACCCCACATTTGCAGTCACACACACAAAACTTTGTTCCCATTTCAGGGGTTCAAAGCCCCGGGGTTGGAATGAGAGCCGAGGTCTGAGCCCCAGCACTGCTGCTGACCTCTGCGTGTTGACTGTTGTTCTAGTGCAAGGCCTGAAGGACTTGGTCTGGCTACCGATAGAGCAGTACCGCAAGGATGGCCGCATCGTCAGGGGCTTTCAGAGGGGTGCTGCCTCCTTTGGCACCTCAACAGCCATGGCTGCCCTGGAACTCACCAACAGAATGGTTCAAACCATACAGGTATCTTTCCGTGGGCTACCTGAACCTACACAGAGGATGAGCCTTTGCAGAAGGGTTCCATCATTTGGTTTTTATTTTTATTTTTATCTTTACTGTTGAAAGTATTACAGATGTTCCCCTTTTTCCCCCACCATTGACCCCCCACCCTCACCCCTCCTGCCTTCCCACACTGTTGTCTGTGTCCATTGGTTGTGCATATATACACATAGGTTCTTTGGTTTATCTCTTTCCACCCCATTTTGTTTTTAAAATGATACTGTGAAAATACACAGAATATTGAGAATAGGTATTTTATTTGTAATGATTTAATTTCATACTTTTTAAAAGTGTTTGTCCAGTGTTAAGTAATTAGTGGAATAAGCAGTGGAATACAGTGTCAAATTTGTTTGCCTGGTTCAGGTCAATTATAAACATTACGTTACCCAGGGATTATTTCACCACATTTATATGAAAATCATATAGCTAAATGTGAAGAAAGTATTGCAGATCAAACAGTAGTTGAATTGAGGTTTGTTATATTAAGTATTAAGCTCCAACTGACCTTATCCAGACTGTGCATTCTTGACTAGCTGGTCACATGAAGAATGTCCTCAGAGGACAGAGGAGGTACTAAAAAAATCAGCTCGATCAGTTGATACTAGTTTTGAATGTACACTTTAATGTTCTTATTGTAAAAGTAATACATTTTGGTAAAGAATCCACACACTGCAGAGTGCCTTGTGAGGGCGTGGGTTCCTCTGTCCCTCCTCAGTCCCTGTGGGATGTGCTCGTGGGTCCTAACCCAGACTTCCTTCTGATTCATTCCCGACTTTCTCTGAAATGGTCCAGGCAGCGGCAGAGACTGCTTATGACATGGTGTCTCCTGGGACCCTTTCTATCGAGCCCAAGAAGGTCAGAAGGTTTCCTCACCACCGCTTAGCCCACCAGCCAGTGGACCTGAGGGAAGGTGTGGCCAAGGCCTACAGTGTCGTGAAAGAGGTAGGTGATACTTGCGTGGAACAAGCTGGAACTAGTTTCTGGCTTTCATCTGAAGGGCATTCAGTGGTTGTAGTTCATTCCAAAGAAATGCTTGGGAGTGGATTTGCAACTGCTCCCAACAGCCGGTGCCCGTGTGTGCAGCAAGTCAGGGCAGAGGGCCGTGCTGTGGCTGTTGGTCTCCGGCCGAGAGGAGCGGTCCAGTGGAAAAAGGATTCTCTTCCCCACGGACGCGAGCAAGGAGTAATAGACACAGGCATTCACCAACTGGACCCCACGCATATTAAACTTCACTGCATTTACTTCCGATTTGTTTAAAAATACAAGGTTGCAGGTGACTCACTCACATGATCCCATTTCCCCTGCCTTTGCCATCCTGAAGATGGTACGGATTTTTCTGTACATGTTTTCAAAGTTTTATTATACAAGTATGTACTCATAAGCAAAACATACTATTATTTGTATCTTAGAAGTTAACATAAATGGTATAGTATTTGTATTGCTCTGTAATTTCAAGATATAGCCATGTTGATATATGCATATCTAATTTAAACTGTTCCATAGTATTTCATTGTATGAGAATAGCATAATTCAGTTATTTTCCTCTTGGTGGACACCGAGTTTTCATTCTTCCCTAAAACGCCACTTTAGGAATGTTCATATAAAAGTCACTTTGTTTATATGTGCAAGAAGTTGTTAAGGTAGAATTGGTGATTTGTAATGACTTTAATTTTGACATTTACTAAACATTGCCAAAGCATCATTTAGCTGTGCCAGTGAGCCCTGTTCTTAGGGCTGTTGTCAGGGGCATTCCCTGTCTTAATCCTTTTGACATTCCTTTTTTTTAAATTCTCACCTGAGGATATTTGTCTATTTATCTTCGGATAGAGTGGGAAGGAGGGAGAGAGAGAAAGATGGATGTGAGAGGGACACATTGACTGGCTGCCTCCCGCATGACCCTGGCTGGGGACAACTGCTACCGAGGTATGTGCCCTTGACCGGAATCGAACCAGTGACTCATTGGTCCACACACCAAAGCTCTAACCGTAGAGCCAAACCAGCCAGGGCTGCTTGACAAACTTTTTTTTTTTTTTTTTAATAATCACCCGAGGATATTTTTCTGTTTATCTTCAGATAGAGTGGGAGGGAGAGAGCGAAACATCAATTTGAAAGGGACATATCAACTGGTTGCCGCATGAGTCCGATCAGAGCTGGGGGCGAACCACAACTGAGGTACGTGCCCTTGACCGAAATTGAACCCGTGACTCTTTGGTCCTCAGTCTGACGTGCTAACTGCTGAGCCCAGCCAGCCAGGGCGACATTCTTTTTAATATGACACGAAATTTGAAGTCATTTTACTTACAAATTGAGTATGAGGATTTCATTAAAGATATTTCCCCACCGTATACTGACCAGCCGAAGTACCTAGGGCAGCCTTTTAGCTGATGGAAGTAGCCTCTGGGGGCCCAAACAGTGGGAAGGCCACTGAGGCAGGGCCCCAAGCGAGAATAGAGTTTTAGAGGAGAGAGAAGAGTTGGGAGAATAGAGAGAGAACTACCAGTCAGACCTGTTTGCAGATGTTGGGATCGGGCCGTGATCAGTAGACTGTTGGAAGTCAGGTTTGTCAAAGGACCCTGGAGTTCAGACATAGCAGGGCAGTTGGCAGCAGGTTATAATTGCTCTTGGATAAGTAAAAGAGCAATTTTCAAAAACACTTGCCTAATTTCATCTGTGTTTATTTAAAATGAATATTTGTGTGCTTATTTTATGCCATGTGCATAGAAACCCTGAGAGGTAGGTAGAGTTCCTCACTTAGCGACGGGAAAGGGCGCAGCCGGAAGGCCTCCCCATGTGCGCGGCGAGGCAGCAGGGCAGCAGGGCGGGGGCCGGAGACGGGGGTCTGGTGTTAGTTCTCTGACTGCCGGTATGAAAGTGGAGGGGGGGCAGGAAGCATGGGTGGAGGTAGTAGGGCTGGCTTGATCAAACTGAGTCTGAACTCTGGATTAAATAACTTTTAAAATAAAGGCTCCTAAATGGTGACAAATATTTTTTTTCCTTTAAATGTTAATAACTCGAAGATCAAGAGAAAGCATCCATGTATTTCACAGATAGGCTCATCCTCTAGGTCAGGGGTCAGCAAACCATAACTTGCAGGTCATATGTGGCCTGTGCCTGCTTTGTATGGACCTTCTAGCTAAGAATAATTTCTATAATTTTAGAGACTGTAAAAAGAAGGAAAAAAGAGTCAATAACCAAGTCCACAAGTATTTACCATCTGGCCCTTTATAAAGGGCTTTTCGTGGCTCTGTGGTAGTTAGGTAGGTAGTTGTTAGGGTAGCAGTGGTTATCTAGGAATTAGTTAGTTAGTAAACATTTAGTGCCTGCTAAGCTGTGTCAGGCTCATTAGATGTATTATTTCATTTGATTCTAGCAGCCACCACACTTGTAATTCCCCATTTAAAGGGCTCATCTGAAGTCACACAGCCAAGCAATGGAGCTGAGACTTGAATTTGCTTCGGTTGCTTCCAAACTGGGTGGTGGTAATTCTTTAATAAACAGATACCTTATGAGTGTGGGTTGGGGAGAGGAGCTGCAAGGAAGATGATGTAGACACGTGTATGAATTATAAGCATTTTACTTACTGTATTCATGTTTCACTTATTGGCTCTTATCTTGTAGATAGTTTTTAAAATAGCATTTTTTATTTTTATTTTTTATAGTTCCTCTGCCTTTCATCTGCCCTCTCCCCTTTGCCTACCGTGTTGTGTAGAAATGATACTCTGGTTAGCTTGTCAGAGTGATGGCTAGATTCTGGGTAGGGACAAGGTTCCTTGATTTCCCTGGAGAGCCCAAAGTTTGCATTGTGCCCGTCACTGCAAGGGTCACAGTGGGACAGCGCCTCTCGTCCCCTGGGGGTTTCTGAATTAGACAGATGGCAGAGATTCACCACTGCGGCTAGACCTACGCAGTTGTACGTGCAGCTTCAGAGCTCAGCAGTCACGGCTGTTCACTGTTAGGCAGCCACCGAAGGGTGACCATGCCCCAGGAGCTTTGCCTCTGATCACCAAGCATGCTCCTGCTTTGTGTTCTCAGAACCTCCTCTGCTTCATTCAATAAAATGTGTGTTTAGCCCTTTAGCCTCCTTGAATGTTCCACAGTTATCTTCTAGTACATAGCCAGTAATTTAAAACAAGTTAATAATATTCTGGAGCTTAGTAGAGTTAGGTTTTCTTGTCACAGTTGAGTCAGAGGAACTATCACCATGTTCCTTTAGTGATTTGATTTATTCCAGGAGCTGCTTCGCTGACTTGACCTAACTGGGCGATGGCTGCGCCGCGGGCTCCCTAGTTGCCCTCGCGCCTCCGGGCAGTGCGGAGCTCTGCTTTCTGCACGTGGTGTCGCAGCAAATGCCAAATCGTAATAGTTGCCTCCTGCTCTCCCTTAGAATTAGAATTTTGTCATAAAAATAATGATCCTGGGTTATCTCAAAAGCCGAGTTTTTTGACTACTTACAAATACAGTGTTGAATAATTGTACTAAAGTGTGTGCTGCAGGAGGGTTTGGAGTTTCCTGACCGGCAGTTTACAGCCCTCTCTGCCCCTTCAGGGCATCACAGACACGGCTCACACCATCTATGAGACCGCCGCTCGAGAGCACGAGAGCAGAGGGGTCACCGGGGCCGTGGGCGAAGTCCTGCGCCAGCTCCCGCCGGCCGTGGTGAAGCCTCTGATTGTTGCCACGGAAGCGACGTCCAACGTGTTGGGAGGCATGAGAAACCAAATTAGACCCGACGTTCGGCAGGACGAGTCCCAGAAATGGCGCCATGGGGAAGACTGACGCTTCAGATGCGGATCCTCTGTGACGACGAGGGTGGAGCTAAGGAGCAGAGCGTCCCAGTGGCCATTTTAGAGGGGACTCCTTTAATTTTATTGTGCTCATCATCTCAGGAACAAAAGCATTTCTTAGTTAAATAATTTAATATTATGAAAACATGCAACCAAAACTTCTGTCATTTTAGGGCTAGTTGGGTACTCGCCTATAGAAATGTTTGGTGGCTGGTGTCAAAAGTCCTTAAAGCCTTTGCTGCCAAGCTAGGGGAACGCTTGCTTTATTCAGCTGACCTGGTTCTCCTGGTTCCAGACCAGCTGTCGGTGGCCCTCCTTTTACCGCACGGAGCACCGGGAAAGCGCTGCTTCGGCTGCTCTGAGAGCTTGGTTTCCTCGGTCTGGGGAGAACCACAGCTTCGGAACTTGCGTGGAGAATGAGAGACAGAGCCACAGGCAGCGCAGAGCAGACGGGAGTGTCCTCGTGCATGGCATGAGGAAGCGGTAACCCAGCCTGTGGATTCGTGTTCGTGCCCGGAACACACGACTTCCACTTACTCAGAAAGGCCTCTGTGGGAGCTGAGCGTGAATGTGCAGACGTGTTCTGTCGTGTTGCACTTTATCCTGTGTGTGTATGTGTGTGTGTATGTGTGTGTCTGTGTTTTTAGATTAATACGAGTCATGTGCTGTCGTCTTTATGTAATTCATAGAGTTACACAAAATACAAAAAGGAGTCAATCTGAAAGTTGTTGGTAAAGGAAGGTAATTCTAGTATAATAATTACCATTTATTTGAAGTGTAAATAAAAATGTGCATTCTATAATGAGCTGGGGCCCACATAATTGTTTCTATGTCCGGTCTTAAGCAGGTGTACCGCAAGCTTGCTGGGAATGCGTGGAAAGGGGGATTGGACGTGGTTTGTATGCTTTTAAAAGTAACCAAAAATCCTCTAAATATGCCCTAGTCAGTTGTTTCAAAGTCCCGTTTTTACTTGGTTAACAATGTACATTTTGATAACCTGTCAGGAATGAATAAAGTATTTTTATTTAAAGGTAAAATTGTTTTATGCTTCCATGAATATTTTGCTTTTCTTAGAGCATATTCATAGATGCAATACTATGATTTATCCCAAGATACTTGGGAACACTTTCTCAAAATTTATTTTGGTTAATGTCAGGTAAATCATTACCTAGGGGCGAGACTGCCCGCAGAGAGAAAGGCCGGGCTCGCTCCTCGCCCTGGGGAGAGCTCTCGTTTCCTAAAGTGGGTGATGTCATCAAGCGGATTGGGATTGTAGGGTCACAGCTCAGTGTGGGGTTTGGAAATGACGCCGAATCACTTTTATTGTCTACATTTTTAAGAAAACCATGTTAACCAAAGCCCGAACATTTAAAATTTATAAAAATTGTGCTAAATAGTGTTTATTTTTATTTTGTTTCCTTTTCACTGCTGAACAACTTAAAAGGGCAATGCTCAGCGGAACCGCCTGTCCAGGCGTCACGGGACCACGCGCTGCCCCGCCCCTGCTCGGTGCAGCCCATCCAGAGCGTGGCTGAGCCTGGCCGGCCATCCGCGTGAAGCCGCCCTGCCGTGGGCACATCGGCTCCCCGCTCTTCGCCCCAGTGTGCTCCATGTTTGTTACCGCAGACACACTGTGTATGCTGTCTGTGATGGTTAAGCACTCTTAAAAACATTTGCTCAAACCAGAAGTGTAAATTCTCTTCCACTTTTAAACACATTTCCCATAGTTACACTAGTTCTGCAGTTCAGTGAGACGTAGTATAGGGAGAAATAATTTTCTTATACTACGAGCTGCACACGGACCCATCTTTTGACAAGCTAGGTGCGCAAATCTCAGCCGAGCCTGCCTTTCTGGTGTGATCTCGGGGTTCTGTGCTGCCTCCTGCACCAGCTCGTGGACCAGAAATCTCGTACCGCAGAAAGGGCCAGTGCCGAGGGTCTCTTCGTTGCCAGGGTAACCAAGATGCTCTTTACGGAGATGTTTGTGTCTATATTTGAACACTTCTGCATTATTAAGTATCTTTAATTATTTTCTTTTTTAAAAGTGTCTCATCAGACTTCTATGTTGCAATGACACAGTAAAAAAAAATCCTGGGCAGGATCCTTGGGTTGCCAGATCTGTGACTCGCCAAGTGGATGACTTGGCCAAAACGCTGAATTTCTCTCAACCTTGGTGTCTCTCTCCATGAACAGAGGGGTTTCCTACAACAAAGCCCAACAAAGATTCCTGGATGGTCAGGGTGTGTGCCTGTGCGTGCATGTGTGTGTGCACGCATGCATGTGTGTGGATGATGGGATGGGTATGAGGCTCGGTAGAGTGCCCAGACCTGTGACACCTCCACTGGTGGCACTGTCGACTCAGAGTGGTCGTATCACAGTAGCGGACTCTTCAGATCTCTGAACAGCCACAGTGCCTGCGAGGTGGACTTTTGATGTGATCCTTCTGAAGGGGGTAGACTGTGTCCACTTGTGGCTGCATTGAGTCCGTACAGGTATCTCCCCGAGGAGGCCAGGTAAGCAAGCCTGATCCAGAGCCGTAGCGAGCTACAGAACCCACAGTGTGACGGAGCCCTGTCAAGGCCACCTTCCATTGTAAAGACGGCCAGGCCGTGTCGTGAACAGGGCTGATTTTGTCCCTCCTGTCTGTCCCCAGATTTATTATTTACGAGTAGGACATCCACTTTTAAGATAGGTAGGATACAGTGTTTCTTCTAGACATCATAGCAGTAGACTTGGTTCCAATTTGGATTCCCACTTAAGCATATATATTTAACATATATTTTTGCATTATCTTTAGATAGAGCAGGAGGGAGGAAAGGAAGAAGAGAGAGAGAGAAACATCGATGTGAGAGAGACACATTGACTGGTTGCCACCCACACAACTCCAACCGGGGTCGGGGACAAACTACAATGGAGATATGTGCCCTTAGTGGGAACTGAACCCGGGACTCTCTGGTCCGTGAGCCGACACTGTAACTGCTGAGCCAAACCGGCCATGGCTAACATCAATATTTTTGTAATGCAAAAACTCACTTTAAGGAAACGAAATGTTCCCAAGTAGCAAGTGCCTACAATGGCAAAAATCCTGTAAACCAGTGTTTCCTCCCTCCTGCGATGTCAGTTTCAAATGCTATTAAAATAGTTCCAGCTTTTAAGGGAATTACCTTTTAACCATCTGCTTTAATAACCGTGTTCTGTAGGTTTGCTGCCTTTGTCCAGTTTCAGAACAGCCCAGACAACTCTGCTCCTGCAGAGGCTGCCTGTGCGGGGTGGGGTGTGCCTCCCTCGTGCTGTTTGATTGGGTGTCGTGCTCTGTGTGTCTTCAACATAGTGCAGAGCTGAACGTAGGCTCTTTGAAATGAGGAATCCACACTTGCACCGAATGGTTTTAGGATGGACAGCTAATTGTCAACATGAATTTACATGTTGTGTATGTACAAAGCTCAGGGGTTGACTCAAGTGAAGTCATTTAACTTGTACACCTGCGTTGGGATAGTTCCTCTGAATTAGGGGGAGTGTGGCCGGGCTCCTGTTCTGAGTTGAGCAATCTTATTCCTATTTTCCTCTTGACCTACTCAAGACAGTAGAGAGAATGTAAAGTTCTTGACATTTCTTGAAAGTAAGGTACTAAGCAAACAAAGTAATACTCTTGTATCTGCAAATGCCTCAACTTGGACACACTGGTATCAAGTAGAATATATCAAATAGACATTAGTGAGTCAGGTTAGAGGAAGGTTATTTGTATAGTGTATAGATAATGAAGGGGGAAAAGATTTCTTTGTTTCCATTATCAAAAGATTTTGTTTCTGTTCACTGGAAGGTAGCTAGCTGTTTCATACGAGGATAATTGAGTGCTTCAGTGCCAATTTATTGTTATCACAGTATTTTCAGGATCTGTGAGCACTCGTATCCCTTTCATAGACTCTGCACATTCGCAAGCCAGCCAGCTTTAACCAGAAGTATTTTTCTTTCACTGTACTGTCTGCAAATCAGAGTAGAAAAGGCAGCCTAACACACCCCATGATAGGCTTCTCTCAGGGTGAGAAATTCAAGGGAGTTTCAACAAGTCATATTTTGAAATGATAGCAGCTTTTAAAAACATAGGTGGTAGAGATTTTTGCCTCTTATAACGACCGTCAGCCTCTTGGATTCAAGCATGTTGCTTCATAGTAAGCACCAGAGATTTCAAGAGATTGTACATGTGACGTTGGCTGACCCAGTGACATCTGATGCCCTGAGTGGTTAAAAGCAACGCCTCCCTTAAAAAGTATGTTTACTTTGCTGTTTCACAGGTAATTTGTGTATATGAAATGGCAGCTTCTGATTTCTAGTGGGATTTGTGTAGGGTTGGGGGTTTGGTGGATGAACAAAATGTAACCTTGAGATATGTGTTCTCGTGACCTGGCCAGCCAAAGAGCAAAGTATGTGTGAACAGATAAGGTTTGCCTGGAGGGTAGGAATGCCACCCTGTCTGAACTGAACGTATTGACTATGAATGAATAGATAAGGTTTGCATGTCAAAGGGCTGGAACCGCCCCAAAAAGAATAATGGGCAGAAAGCCCAGGCGTGAATGGACTTGTTTTGTTTTGTTTTTGTATCTCCTTTGATGTTTCTCCACTGAAAAGGAGAGACAGGAAATGTACTGGGCTTGGCTGTATGGTCAGCAGGGATGCCATCTCAAGGAAATAATTACCTAAAACACCATGTAACCTGGGGAACCACTTTGCAAATAAATTGGGCTGCATCCAGAGATCTAGAGCACTTGCTCCCTTGCAATGCTCCCCCTCACTCCAAGCAGAGTCTGTTTGTACTTCATTGAGTTGTGACGACCCCTGGCAGGTCGAGAGAGTCGGCATGTTTGTCTTACACTCTTTGTATGACATGTCAGTCACACAGGACTTTTCATTGTGAAATTTAGGGCACCAAGTTCAGCCCTCATGTTAATCATCCTGACTTATTTTAGACGTTGACTTGTAAAGAACATAGATTGTATATATTGACTATCATGCTACATTTTCTGATTTTCCTAATTAAAGTAATTATGGATGTGAATATTTGATGCTGTATGTGTGTTTTTGTGGAACTATAACTTGTTAGTGTGACTATTTAAAGTATTATGAAATTAAGACTCTTGAAGAGAATTAAAATATTTACTCTTTGGAGTTTGCTTTAAACACTACGGTCTTTCTCCAAGAACTGTTCCCAAAGCCTGTACACAGTACTTTTGGGGGGTGAGGGGTAGGTCTGTGTCAGATCCTGTTATTGGGAAATGATGTTCCTACAATCCCAGTACTGTTGATAGCAAATGTTGTATCTACCTGCTGCTAGCTTCTGAGACAAACAGGGTACGTAATGTTAAAATTTGCCACTCCAACCCCGTTTGGATATGAATCACTGTATTAGTTATTTTATCCCTCTGATATAGACTTGGGGCAAACACGTCTTGTAGGTTTGGTCATAGGGACCTAGATAAATACTTGATAAAATCTGTTTTGTTTGGAGGAATATTTAAAAGAAATAGTTAAAAAAATTTTTTTTATGAGTTTGAGCCAAAATGACAACATATGAGAGGGAGCAAGATCTCAAATGCTTCGAAGAAATCTCTTTTTTGCACCATTCCCTGGAGGTACCTCAATACCAGGTTGCTGCATGGTGTGGGCGGAGCTAGCTCCTGTTCGATCTCCCTGCTCCAAAACCATGTGCTGTGCTGTCCTTGCATAGAGGGAATCGCAGATGTTAAACCGATAAGAACAGAACACTTGATCTTAGCCAAAAGGCCAAGAAGCGATGAAATCCTCATTTAAAAAGACACCGCTGTAAAGGAGGTTTTGAGGTGACGGGTCAATGTAATCACCCACTGAGCAATTGGGAGAACCACAGGTCGCCCTTCACACATGGCTCCTGGGGATGCTTACTGTGTGCCAGGCACCGGAGCATGTTCTCTGCCCTCAGAGCCCTCCAGAGGCGGGGTTAGGGGAGGAGACTGAGGTTAGGAGTGTCAAGTTCACCGTCACATGGTTTGACTCCGAAAGCCCACCCTCATCCAAGGGTTTCATTTAAGAGGAACGTGCACAGTGTCACTGATTTCCTTCACGAATTAGGAAGCTAAGGAAGGGATTTTGCTAGAAGATCGAGAGGAAAGGTTCTCAGAAGTCTCGTGCCAAGGTCAGAACCGACGCGCTTCCATCTCTTCGCTGCGTGCCCAGGGCTCCCCCTCCTGGCTGCCCTGCGTGCTCCGCGGGCCAGGTCTGCTGCTCCCCTGTAAGCAGGGCTTGGAGCCACCTGGAGGATTCCTTTTTTTTAAAATCCTCACCAGGGGATATTTTTCCATTTATTTTCAGACAGAAAATAAATGGAAAAAAATAAATGGGAGGGGGAGAGAGAGAGAAACATCGATGCGAAAGAGACACATTGACTGGTTGCCTCCCACGCAATCCCTACCAGGGCCGGGGGCTGAACCACAACCGAGGTACATGCCCTTGACGGGAATCGAACCCCCGACTCTGGTCCGCAGGCCGAGGCTCTAACCGCTGAGCCAAACCGGCCGGGTTGGAGGATTTCTTTTTTTATCCTCATTCGAGGACATTTTTCCATTTTTTGTACAGACAGAGTGGGAGGGAGAGAGAGGAAGAGAGAGAGAGGGATACATCGATGTGAAAGGGACACATCGAGTGGCTGCCACCCGCACAACCAACCAGGGTCGGGGACAAACTGCAACCGAGGTACGTGACCTTAGCGGGAACCGAACCTGGGTCTCTCCGGACCGCAGGCGGACGCTCTAACCGCTGAGCCAAACCGGCCAGGGCGGAGGATTTCTTTTTAATGCTGATGCTCGGACCCCACTCAATGCCGATTAAAAGTCTGGGAATGGGGCTAAATCAGGTCTCTCTACCTTAGCAACCTTGACATTCTGGGGGGCCGTCCTGTGCACTAGAGGATATCTAGCAGCATCTTTGGCCTCTACCCACAAGATGCAAGTAGCATCCCTCCCAACTGTAAAGCCCAAAGTGTCACCAGATAGCTCAAAATGCCCCTGGCGCAACCACTGGGCTGGCAGCTCTCCTGGTGACATCACGTGCGTCCTGGACGAGCACAGTGGTGAGCACACCACCCTTCTTTCCAGATCGCTCTGCCGCTCCCTCCTTATTTCAGCCTAACGGGGGCCGTTTCAGACAGGCCCAGCCACTGCCCTACCTCTGCACTCTCCATGGTAACACGCTCCTAAGACGAGCCTCTGGCCCTTTTCTCACGTCATAAACCCACACTGATTGATTTCCCTATTTACTATCCGGCGCTCTCTGAGGAGGGCAGGGGACGGGACGAGTTAGCATACTGTTAGGTGGGCAGGGACACCCACGCGGACGTGGGAGCTGACCTGGGGCCACGGAGAGACTGGGTGCCTCTCTCAGCTCGGGGCTGTCCTAGGCCTGAGCCCCGTGAGTCAGTGGTGACTTCCAGCCTTTTCCTGCTCCCCTTGGCAACAGGAACACAACAGCCCTCCCCTTTGCCATCCCATCAGGCAGGAGACAGAGCAGCCTAAGCCTCCTCGCGGGCCTGAGGAGGGTGATTCACAGAACCTGTGCCGGAGGCGAGGGGCTGCCCGGCAGCAGCTGAGGCCTCAGGCAGAGTGAAGTGGCAGGAGGGCCCCAGGAACCCTCATCCTCGGGCTCCTACCCTCCCATCTCTTGTGAGAGCCTCCCACAGGTCGCACCCAACTTCTGCAGTGTCTAAGGCTCATGGGCAGAGAGTGGATCTGGGCAGATGGCAGCGTGATCTAATTTGCATTTGTCCTGTTATCTTCATTCTGCGGATGACAAAACCGAGGCTTAGGATCAGTGTGGCCTACCCAAAGCCTCACAATGTACTAGTTAAGAAACACCAGTCACTGATGACAGGTAACTCCCCGAACCCCAGCAGCTGAACAAAAAGAAGTGTCTCTCTCAGTTACATCAAGTCCGGTCGGAGCTCCCGAGTATCCGGCAGTTCTCCACACGGCGATGGAGAAACCCAGGCTCTTTCCACGTTGTGGCTCTACCTCCCTGGAACTTCAGAACTTGCCTCATGGGAGAGAGAGGACAGCTTAGTGCTGGAGACTTGGTCCACATCCCAGCAGCAGAATTCAGTCACGTGATCGCACCCAGCTCACCTGGGTAATGTGGTCTGGCTCTGTGCCTAGGAAGGGAGGAAATTGGGGTTGCTGAGCAAGACAGCTCATAGTTTACACTTTGAATCCAGGAATGTCTGACTCCAGACTCACGCACAGGTCCTATTCGAATCACAGTTAGTTACACTGCAAGACAATTAGCCATGACCAGAGTTAGATTGTTTCTTTCTCCTGGGCTTGTTTGTGTATATTCCTGAGAGCAGCTTCACGTGGAGCGGATTATATTCCGTAAGCATCTGCTGGGTAACGAGGCAGGGTTGAATACTGTAGTGGTCTTCACAGCTTGTCTGCGTATAGGAAATCACTGAAGGATCTTTTAAAAATTCCAAAACCCAGGCCACACTCAAGAACAAGGAAATCAGTCCCTGGGATTTATTTTTTTTATTTTTATTTTTATTTTCCAAATCTTTATTGTTGGATGTAAAATGTATTACAGATGTTCCACATTTTTCCCCCATTGACCCCCTCCTCCCCACTCCCGCCCCCCCTCCCACCTTTTACCACACTATTGTCTGTGTCCATTGGTTACATATAAGTTCTTTGGTTTATTTCTTCCCACCCCCCCAACCTCTTTCCCTTTGAGGTTTGTCAGTCTAGCAATGAATTTGTGCTTCTTAATCCCTTCACCTTTTTCACCCATTCCCCCAACCCCCCTACCAACTGGCAACCAACAAAATGTTCTCTGTATCTATGAGAATGTTTCTGTTCTACCTGTTCATTTTGTTTGTAGATTCCATTGTTGATAGATATGTATTCATTGCCATTTTGTTTGTTCATACATTTTATCTTTTTCTTCAAAAAGACCCTTCATCATTTCATATAATAATGGTTTGGTAGTGATGAACTCCTTTAACTTTTTCTTGTCTGGGAAAGTTTTTATATGTCCATCGATTCTAAATGACAGCTTTGCAGGATAGAGTAATTTTGGTTGTAGGTTCTTGCTTTTCATCACTCTGAATATTTCTTGCCACCCCCTTCTGGCCTGCAAAGTTTCTTTTGAGAAATCAGCTGACAGCCTAATGGGAACTCCCTTGTAGGTAACTAGCTGCCTTTCTCTTGCTGCTTTTAATATTCTCTCTTTGTCTTGAACCTTTTGCATTTTGATGATGATGTGTCTTGGTGTGTGCCTCTTGGGGTTCATCTTGTTTGGGACCCTATGTGCTTCCTGGACTTGTATGTCTGTTTCCTTCACCAAGTTAGGGAAGTTTTCTGCCATTATTGTTTCAAACAGGTTTTCGATTTCTTGTTCTCTCTCTTCTCCTTCTGGCACCCCCAAGATGCGAATGTTGGCACGCTTGAAGTTGTCCCAGAGGCTCCTTACACTGTCCTCATTTTTTTGGATTCTTTTTTCTTTTTGCTGTTCTGATTGAGGATTTTTTGCTTCCTTATATTCCAAATCAATGGTTTGCTCCTTGGATTTACGTACTCTATTATTGAAGCTGTGTAAATTATTCTTTATTTCAGTTAATGCCTCCTTTAATTCTAACTGTGTATCCATGATTTCTAACTGGTCCTTTTTTATGCTCTTGAGGCCCTTCCTAAGTTCACTGAGGTTCTCACTGAGTTCATTGAGCATCCTTATAAGCAGTATTTTGAACTCAGCATCTGTTAGGTTGCGTATCTCCCTTTCTCTTAGTTCTTTTCTTGGGGTTTTGTTCTGTTCTTTCATTTGGGACCTGTTTCTTTGTCTCCTCATTTTGGCTGCCTCCCTGTGTTTGTTTCTGTGTATTACTTAATGAGGGGTATGGGGCTCGCTGAGACCCGATGCTGCTCGTTTGAAAGAATTTAGGAAAAACCTGAAGCAGGATCCAAGACCGGCCAATCCTATGGTTAAGCAAGTGGCAACAGCTTGGGTGGGCCTGAAAGTTGGGTGGGGTGGGGCGGGGCCTCAGGGAGTCAGCAGGGCGGGGCTACCAGTGTGAGCCAGGTTGCTGGAGTCCCAGATATGGGGACTGTTTGCCACCCCCGGGAAGGGCTCACCAAAGGAACAAAGGCCTCTGACAGCATGTTTGTCCCCGAGAAAGCCCCCTCTCCAGCCCTCGCTCCAGTGCCAAACAGCTCAGTTCTTCCCTGTATGTCTCTGGCGCCCCTCGAGCTGCCTCCCCTCCGAGCTTAGAGGGAGAGAGTCCGATAAGTCCGTGCGCGGGCCCTTTAGGGAGCTGCCTGGGGCTCCAGCCGCCTCAGCCTCCCTGAGCCTCAGTTTCCGCTGGTTTTTCCAGCCAGAAGTGATGGGGCTTCTCTTCCTGGCACTGGAACCCTGAGCGGGGCACCTGGTGTGGGACGGGGACCCCTCAGTCCTCAGGAAGGACCTTCCCAGTGAGGTGTCCTCCTGATTTTTATCCACCACATGTGGGTGTGGGCCCAACCAGTCCCCTCCGCCCCTCCTACCAGTCTGGATGTAGCTGCTGCTTTAATCCCGTAGCTGTAGGACTTCATTCAGCTTGATTTCAGGCGGTTTTGAATGATGGTTGTTCTGTAGTTTTCCTAGGATTTATTTTTGAAGCTCCCAGGTGACTAATGTGCAGACCCGTTTGGGAACCACTGGTTTAGTGCCTAAGAACATAGATTATAGAGTCAGACTGCCTGGGCTGATTCAGGCTCCATTACTTATTAGCTGTGTGACCT